AGGTAAGACACATGACACGGGTCACTACTTTGCCATCTTGATCTACGGGGACTTGATGTGGTTGGCGGACGATGGCAAGGTTCCTACATACCTGCCCTTTCTGACACCGAAATTGGCCAGCCAGATCACACAGATTTGGGCAGTCGATATAGCCATCTTCAAGACACCACAACAAATTTGGCGCAGCCTCCCACCACCAGAGGAGCCAGACTACGACCCACCCTTGCACCCCAGCCCACAAAAGCGTGCAAGGATCACACAGAGCCACAACAAACTCCACTATGCCAATGTTACCAATTTTGGACGCCAGGTCATCGACTGGTACTGGACCAGAGAGGGAGAAGCGCACATCTTTGCTGAGACGCACTTGGACCCACAACGACACGGTGAAATCTGCCAGTACTTCACCATCAGAGGAAGAACGGCATTTGGAACCCCGGCAGCAACAAACAGTGACAACACTGGAACACATGGAGGGCTGTTGGTGCTTGCAGATCCATCAAGCTGTTTGACAGAGCTTGAGGCCTATACCATCCAAGGTTGTGGCTACCAGGCATTCCTTTGGCAAGCTACGGAAAGCACTATCCTGGTACTTGGCATCTACCTCCGCAATTCTGAAACACTTCAGAGTGACACCAATGCTGCCATCATTGGAAGAATGCTGGCTTTGATCACAGCCACAAAACATCCCTATGTCATCATTGGCGACTGGCAGAATCCACCAGATGCAATAGCCAGCACGGTTTTGCCTGCCAAATTTCACTTTGGCATCCTTGCTCCCGACCATAGTGTCCTCTCAGGCAGTGTACTTGACTATGGACTCCTACGTGATAGTCTGGCCAGCACAACGGCTTTGACCACAGAATGGGCTATACCGTGGAGACCACATGCACTGCTCACACTGCATTTCGACATTGAGGCAGCCACCAGAGTATGCCGTCAGGTACAACACTTCCCAACTTTGCCAAAGGTGCCTGATATTGACTTCAGGCCATGGACCACCTATCAAAGTCAGGCCTACCAGTTATGTCTGCACGACATCCCTCCCAATGAACCAGCACAGCAATGGGCCGACTGGCTGTCTCGGACAGAGCAGTACCTCCTGGAGGAGCACCCTTGGGCGGCTCAAGGTCGAGGTGCAAATTTGCAGGCCATCACAAAGCCTTTGGTCGCCACCAAGCCCACCCAGACCTGGCGCAAAGGGAGGCCGGCCTTTTGGGAACAACTTGCAGCACGTTTCCAGCTCGCAGTCAAACAACCGGATAGAGTCCAGCACGGACCTGTGAAAGGATTCATGCAAGCAATCCACGATGTGCCAAAACATTGGCATGGCCCGCCCACATGGGGCCAATTTCTCGACACTGCACATCATTGGCACAAGTACAGAGATCCACATGCACAGGGCTCTGAAAGACATCCTGCAACCACACGAACCACAAGTGGCCACGGTGATGAGGGACCTGGGCATTGACCATCAGGCCGCCAGACGCCGCCGCATCCCTGTGCTGAAAAAGCGCTTTGCCAAAGCCACTCAGCGCAAGCTCAAGCTCAGATCCTTCAAAATCCCCAACCTGAAGGTCAGACTTCGACTTCACCGAGGTGGAATCCAGCCGGTGGCCTTGTGGGGCATAGAGGCACAGGGTCTGGCACCCAGATACAGAACAACACTCCGAGCAGCGTTGGCCACACAGCTGGGCCATCACAATGGTGGTACGCTTGATGCCACATACGACATCCACAGCAACAAATACATGGACCCGGCAGACCAAGTGGTCATACACCACATCAAAGCTCTCCACACCCTATACCATGCCTGGCCAACTGACCAAATCACGCACCTCGAGCAAGCCTGGACCAACATCCACCAACACCAGAGTACCAAAGACCATCCCTGGTACACCGTGAAGGGTCCCTTGGCGGCTACCATCACCTACCTCCTGGAATGGAAATGGCAAGCCACTCAACTTCAGCATTGGACTCGGCCTGCCACGGATCTCATGCTTGAGAACTAGATCAGCATCCAAGACCCTTGGTGGAAAATTGAAAAAGCCTTGATGCAGGAGGCCACGGCCCAGCGCATACAGCGATTGGCTCAAAGGCCATACCACCAACACTTGCTGGCAGGCTTGGATTGGCACGTGTATCGGAAACTCATACGACACTTGAAGGAGCATCGAACACACCACAAGACATGGGCCCAAGGGGCAATCCATTACAGAGACCAAGGCAAGCCCAAGATGTGTCCGATCTGTGGTGTCCCTGCCACGCCTAAGCACATCATTTGGTTGCGCAAATGGCACCAAGGAAAAGGGCGCGCCAGAATGGGCCAACCGCATCACCCAGCATGATGAAGAGCCGTTATGGAACACAGGATGGATCCCATTAGAACCACAAGAACAACGGCAGCTACCACATCCGTACCAAGGCCATGGCAACTGGCAAGGCCTCTCGGTCCTCCAGCCGCACCAATACCAAGGATGGGCTTTCACGCTAGATGCCACCCCGTCCACCTATGACACCAGAAGCCAACTATGGGTGTTCGGCCTTTGCGTGCACACTCTACGCACTGGGCAACTGCAGAGGTTGGGAGCCATTACCGGCATTCCCACCAACCCACAAACCAAAGCCAGGGCTCTGGTGGCAGGACTGGCAGCATTGGCCCAACATACCAGCACACCGGTCAAGGTCATCGTTCAACTGGCCACCGTTTGGGAAGTCTGGACCCAACCAAAGCACCGCCAGGCCTATCAAGATCTACTACATCCCCTGAAAGACGAGGATTTTCACCGAGTGACAGTCCTGTACATCAGCAAGAACACCAGAACTCCAGACATGCCGGGCAATGAGCCCCACCTCCAAAGGCGCCAGCGAGATGCAGCTTTGACGGCTTGGCTCTCTCCGGACCACAAGGCCATCGAATGGCAGGCCGTCCTCGACCAAGATCATGAGGAGATCTATCGGCATGCTGCAGCACGACTGGCATTAGTGTTTGCTGACAAGCAACACTATCTGCACCAAAAGGCTCCCAGACACCAAGCACACCAGACGAAGCAACACAAGAAGCAACTGGTCCAACAATGCCGCAAGCCCTGGCAAGCACCACTTCACAGGTGGCAACCCCATCGCAGCGGCTATCAATGCAGTGCTTGTGGAGAAAGAGTCCACCAAGGCCTGACAGCCTCCAACATTGAAGACAAGCTGACCCAGGATTGTTCTGAGTTGAAGAAGAACATCCAGTGCTTCACAGCCCGCGCGAGCCCATCCAGAAGAAGGTCACCAGAGCCCAGCTCATTGCCAGTCTGCTGGACAAACAAGCTGCTCACCAATCAGAGAGCCAACACCACCTGGAGGAAACGAAGGGATACCTCAGATGCCTGAAACGCACAAATGAGGCTGCTTTCCTGGAATTTGTCAAGGGCCAGTGCATCAACCAGCTGTACACCCCAGGCCACCAGGGCCACAAAAGTCACACCCTATGGCAGAAGGGTGACAAGCTGCATTGTCAAGGCTGTGGCACCCACACCCAGCTCGATGCACAGCAACGGCCAATCCTCACTGCAGCTTTAAAGAAGCCGTGCAAGGGTGCTCCCCTTGGCACTTCACCGCCAATCACAGAAATCTTCAGGAGGCAAACGGTCAAGGCTAGCCACATACCTGATAGCCAAGATTCAAGCCAACACTCTCAGTGCCAGGCTGATGTCAAAGACACAGCAGAGTACCAGGCAGGCCACGAACACCAGCCGCACCATGACCACCAGGCACGCACCTGCCATGCAGACAGCACATCTCCGCTTGTGCCCAGGCAGCTCAACTACCATGATGTCACAATGACACCGTCTGACGCCGAGCAACCTCCCCTGCTACCGAAGGGGATGCCATGGGCTCCAGGCCATGATACCCAGCCAATAGCCCATCCAAAGCCATGGTTGCCGCCGGCTCTCGAGAGCCAAACACCAGTCACCAAAAGGCTGAAATTTCCCTCAGCTCAGCCTGACAGGGTAGATCCCAGCTCTGAAGGGATGCAAGAAGAGGACACTTCAGAAAGCACCCAAGAGCAAGACTACGAAGTTGACTTCTTTTGAGAACGCTCACAGCAGCTGCCCCGACCTCACCTCCAACGGCAACTGGCGGCCTGCAGCTCTAGGCCAAAGAGCCAACCTCGATCGCCTGAAAAGACACCCTTAGGAAAATACATACATACATACATCAAACTGGCCAGCCTGAACTCACACAAGGAGAGCAGGTCACACCTACGTCTGACACCACAAGCAAGACCCAGGCAGGCCATGAAACCCAGCCACCTCTGGGCCTTCTAGTTGCAGCTCCGGCTCAAACCAGCCTGTCACCTTTGGTTCCAAGGCAACTTCACTACAGTGAAGCAACCACCAGACAGGAGGAGGCAAATCCTGTCCACCAAAACAGCGCCAGTTTCGGCGACACAGGCCATGAACCCCAGCCTGCCAGCCAACCACCTTGGCAAATGCCACATGCACCGCCGGCATTGCTGCCCAATGCTTCCAAAAGAAGCAGGTCACGAACTCCTGCCTCTTACAGAGAAGATTCGGAAAGTGAGACAGCTGTCGATCCTGTGCTCGAAGTCGACTTCTTCTAGCTGAAGCACAACCTCCAAGCAGCTGGCAGCCGAGCGGCCAAGGTCAAAGAACCTCTCGTTCTGCAGGAACAAAAGCCTTTAGGGAAAAAAAATACATACATACATACATACATACATACATACGTACATCGATAGATATAGATATAGATATAGATATAGATATAGATGTAGATATAGATATAGATAGATAAAAAGATTGGTGGATGGTCAGATGGCCTTGGCCTTTAGCTATTCCAGCAACATCTCTCAAAGTAACACGAACTGAATTTGCTTAGCATGACTAAGGAGTATTGTTAATAATTGGAGGTTCCAAGTTGTGTGGTGGCGGGCAAATACGCCCATTGCCAACCTCCGCGCACTCCCCCCTTTCCCTCGTATGCCGGGTCACTGTTGCCAAGGCATAAATTGTTTCCTGGACAGGCAAATGGCGTGCAAGTGTGCCATCCATGTTAGCGAGTCCTCTCGAAAATCCTGCGCTGAGGGCCAATGTAAGACTTCCATGTCAAGTTCAAATATGGGAGGGGTGGGGAGGAAGTAGGAGGTCTAGGTGCCTAAGTTCAGGGTTGGTGGTTGAACCCGCATGCTTGCCTAGGCATCGGCCCTTCACTTCGCAAGGGATCAACAAGCCATACTCATAGTGAAAGTCAGGTGCCTTGGACAGCGAGCAAAATCCGCCCTGGAATGGGCTGGGCAAACAGTGAGTCAACAGGCTCTGTCAATAAGTCTAAGATTTATTGAATGATACCCATGTCTTTTGCCCTAATCAGGTTGCTCCCACTGTTCAAACAGAACAAGCAAACTGTCGTAGTCTTGACAAAAAGCGAACTTCCAGGCGACCTGTGAGAATCTCACATCTTCACGAGTGAGATAAGGAGATACAGTAAGGGGGTTGACCATGACCCTCTGGCCTTTTGTAGTCAAACTGCATAGGTCCCATAGTTAGGCAAACACATCCAGTAGTATTATGTTTGAAGGCGTCTTCATGTTCACTGAGTAAAGGCATTTCCAGACTGCCAGCGTTTGGGGTCACTATATAAGCGATGGAAGTTTGAAGCCTTGCCTGCCTTTAGAGCCCTCCTTAATCAGGAGCAGCGTTATCTGGAGACATGGAGACATCTGTAGTTGATCTTACCTTCAGAGACGGTGCGCAGTGCAAATCCAAATCGCTCGCAAGTCATGATACTTGCAACACCATAGCAGAATCACTGGATTGTGAAGTAGAATCGCCGGATGACCCCAAGCAAGCTGCATGCACTGCATGCATTTCTTTTCCAGCAATGGTCAGTCATACCGCCAGGCCTGACCTGCAACACAGCCCCTTGGACGCAACTGGTGTGCCCAATGCCTCTAGTAAGCTGCAGCTGCCCGTCAAGTAAACAGTAGAATCCAACAAACACAAGCAGCTGCATTACTAGTTGCTTTGGGATGTCATGCCGGCAACGCATCAGCCCTAGACATAGCCAAGTAAAAACATGGCATAGCTTCCAAGCATTGTAGCCGTCAGAAGGATCAGTCCGAAGGTGACGTAGCCGAAATGCTTGAAAAGGCCTCGGTGTCGTAACCACTGTCCACCGTTGGAGGTAGTCAAGTTTGAGCAACGTTTGTCCAGTCGATGAGTTGCCCCGCAAATCGGTCGTCTTTCCCTGGGTTTCTTTCAAAACTGCGAGACCACCAAAGAATAGCTGCGGCAGTGGCCTAGCATTATGAACATCATTTCCAAAGTGGAGAGCACTTCCTTTTGTATGTCCTTAAACAAGACTGCTACCACTGGCCTGTACAACAGGCTCATGACATGCTGAACTCAACGTCAATCCAAGTTGTTTAAGCTCAGATCCGAGGTCATGTCAATAACCACCCACTAGGCGCTAGCCCCCCACCCTCCCTGTTCGATCCCACATGTCCACTGCACATTCTAGAGACAGTCGCTGCCGCCCTCACTGGCCTCCACGCGAGGCTTGGAAGCCTCTCTTGTCAACATGCATATGTTGAATCCTGAGGTCTGCACAGAAGCGCCACGTACGTGCAAAGGTCCAAGCCGACACGTGCAAACAAAAGTGATCAAAATTGATCAAGAGTGCAACCTCTGGCCACTGTGTTTCGAAGGAAAACATTGTTTCTCCGCATGGTGAATGTCATAGCCATAGTGATAGTCTTGTGATAGTGGTGGAAGTTGCGCGCCAGGCAAACTAAATCCGGTGTGGCCAGGACCTCTCCACTCGTGACGTCTAGAACTATTTAGCATTTATTGGTGTTTGATCACCAGGCAATCTGATGAAACCAGATGATGCCAGTGCTTGAGAATGTGCTTCCATCTGCCGGTTATATGCCAGAAACATTACCTTGGCATGAAGAAAAATATTGAATTTGAACCCAGTCGGTGTTCAACTGGAGCCGTTACAAGCAGCTTCAACAAGCTACAGCTGAGAACTTGGGAAGTGTCTAATCAAAGCTACCCTGATTGGTTGCTGCGCTACTCCAAGCCAAGCCGCTCGTTGAGGAAAATGCTCCCTATGCGTGCAGCAGGGCTGCACAGGCCCCCGCCAGTGGCCTCGGCCAAGGACCCATTGAATCAGTCAAGACCATTAGTGGTTTGTTCCATGCCATTAATACAAGAGGGGTCAAGGCACGACCCACGACACTGAACACTCAAAACGGCAACGAATGGAGAAAACCATAAGACGAATTCGGGGTGTTGGATACATTTTGGGTTTGGGTCTTTCTCCTGCCCACCCGAAACAAAATCATTTCCGTGAATCCCACTCGGATTCTGGAATGAAGGGTCATCTGCAATGAAGGGTCGGTTGGCAAGTACAATCGGCTGCGGAGGCTCGTGTTGCGAGTTTTAACTACCTGAAACATGGCCCTGAACTCAACCTCACCCGAAGATTCTGTGCAAGCTGTCAAAACAACGACGGAGAAATATGATAGGTTGCGCAGCTCCAAGCAGGGGAGACACCGCTTTAGATATTAGGCATTTACGCAAGGTGACAACTTCCCAACCTCCCACATCATCAGCGACATTGCTGGGGCCATCGGCAAAGCTAGACAGGATCGTGATGAATGACAGGTCACCTGGGCGGAGACCGCTGGGCACCCTCCCTTTCGGGCTGGCAGAGTTGACATCCTCTGCCGGCGCCTTGCAGCAAAGAGCTCACGTTGGCTGCGATGAAGACCTGCTGGGCCTGGTCAACGAGCCCAATGAGAGCGTTGCCAATTTGCAAATGCACGGAGCAACCACCGAAATTGTGCCAGAAATTGCCCTTGCTCCTCGTATTGGCCACGGTAATTCCATCCTTTTGGAACACAGCTCAATCCAAAGAGGCATAATAAAGTAATCCTACAGTAACGGCTCGTGGTGGTTCTGCCAGAAGACTTGCCTTTACCTGTGACCCTGCACTGTCGAAAACAAAGACTCCATACTCCGGGCAAACCACGCGCTGTCAACAAATTAAGCAGCAAAGGTCAAGACAAACAGCAACCCAATCAGGCCAAACTCTTTGGCCTTGACCGCACCACAAGCTTCTAGAGCCCGAGTTGGAAAGCACGAAGAGCTGAGTTGAACTTGAGTGGCAAACAAATGACCGTGTCAGCGAACAAAAAAAGCTGGCAGCTGGGCCCGAAAAGCAGCCAGCGAGCACAAAAGAGCCTAGCAACCATCCTCCAGCTGTCAAGAAGGGCCATTCCCATGTGTGGGGTCCTGGGTGTGCGTACTTTCACATTTTGAGACCCGTTAACATGCAAAACCACAACGCCCACCGGTGGAAAGCGCATCCAAAGAAGTGATCCGTCCAAGGTAATATGTTGACTTTGTATCAATGTTTGCGAGGTGAAACGATATGAGAACAGAAATTAACTCAAGAATCCTCTGGAAGTGCCACATGCAGTGCATTTTGTAAAGATTTGTTAAGTATATAGTTCAAACAAAGGCCGGCTGTTCGTGTTGCATTTGTGTGAAATCTCATTATGCGGGAACCGCAAAGCGGAACCTACTCGACAAGCTTAGACGCAACCCATGTATTGTCTTAGCAAGGCCTTCCTTCTTGCACATGTGTGAGAACCCATTTGAGAAATTGCCTCGCCTGCAGAAGTGCTGGTACTGCCGGATTCACTGCAGTAGCTAGCTCCTCCCAAAACAGCAACGTCAAGCGATACACCATGATGTCGTCATCAAATTCGATGAGATCGATGTGAGATAGAGTCTCAGATAGAAAAATAGAGAGAGAGAGAGAGAGCGCACGCGCAATAAGACTGTGGGAGAGCTACACTTCCAGAACTTCAAACATCCCTTACATACATTGCATCTCTTGCATGCGCAACAAGTGGCCTTAAACAAACGGGGTGCAGAGTGGCAGTTATCTACCTGACTGACTTGCATTCCTGACATCGCTCAAGAGCTTGTCCTGGACCCCTTGCTTCGCAGTGAGATGCCAGGTCGTTGAAGCCTTGAAAGGGGCTGCACAAATTGCGAGGGCCAAAATGATGCAGCCAAAAGGGGTGGATTGGACGTTGCGAGCATTGCGAGTACAAAAAAAGATTAGATACTGTAGCTTGCGCTGAAAGTCGCACTTTGCCCTAGGAGCCAGTTTCTACCTCTAGCGGCAGACTCCAGCGCCGGTGTCGCAGGTGTATGCGGATGTTTTACTAGTCCATTGAAACAGATTGAAACCATCCAACGGTGGATAGTGGAACATTGGCTTCCTCACAAGTTGGGAGGTGCTCGCGCGCCTCCATCATCTTGGCATCAATGGCTTGGCTCAACTTCATTTTCATTTGGGAAGTCCTTGTTGCAAAGCACCCGCCACACAACGAAGTGTGAAAGGAATGTTGTAAATCGTAAACTGTCTCCAGTCCGTGCAGAACATTCCGCTGACTCCGGTAAAACTATGCAGCAAGCAGAATGCTGTGGCCGTTCTGTGTGCAGTGCATTGCTGAAGTTGTTCCAAGAAGAGTGGCAAATCGTGTTAATTCCAATAGTGAACTTCCACGAAAGCTGAGTCCAGTTGAGTAATCAACGGCTCTGATAAGGCATATTGAGTCTTTGCCGAGCATCGCAGCGTCTGAGATGCTTGAGACACCTGCCGAGCTTCATTAATTGTCAGGTGGGAATTAGACCAAGAACATGCAAGTGAAATGTGAAAGTCAGACAGAGTGGATCTCAAAAACTAAAGAGAATGCAAGAATTTACAGTCGTCGCTCGAGAATGACTCGTTTTCAGACCCTATTTTCCTCTAAAGCACCACTCCTCACACGATTTCGCAAACGAATCAACCATCGAACCATCCACCTCCTTTGGACTAATCCGCTAGCTTTCAGCCTGGGTTCACTTCTTGACCGGTTCTTGTTTCACAGCAAGCTTGGCATCGGTTTTTGGAAGGAAGCTTGACAACCGTCTGATGCATCAGGCTTGGGTCACTGTAGAAACTCTTCCAAAAGGCTAAAATCAATGATGTCTGACAGAAATGTGTCCTTTGAGGTCATTGTGGGTCCTCGGGCGCCTTGCAGCAGCTGTTTCATCTTATCCACGGCCACCTGGTGGTCGCCACGCAGGCGACATTGGCAGAATCGAGGTTTTCTCTGCTTCGAACCCGTCACCAAATCCGGATGGGCTGGCGAGTCGCCCTCCCCTCGGACCTCGACTTTCATCGAGGACCTCGCAGCGAAGTCGCCCTGCCTGCACCTCCTGAAGAATCCCATAGAGGCCTCCGCCATCGGACATCCATGGGTCAACTAGAAGATTGGGAATACCAAGTCATGGAGTTTCGGGTTTCGTCAAGCTTTCCAGATCTGCCAAACAAACATCCAATCTGCTGTGCCTGTGCCTGTTGGAAGAACGACAAAAACTGTAAACTACAAGAAAATGGCCCAACGACTGAGTCTCAACTTCAGGTGGTTTTCTAACTTCAGCCAAAGATCCTCGAACCAATACCATAAAGCGATCAGCCAGTTGTCGCACATCCACAATGATCTTCGGGAAGTCTGTGAAAAGTCTCCTCAAAGTGATCGAGTCCGGCGAACACCGTGCTCTTTCGGACGTGTCTCAGCTGTTTCGGTGCTTGGACAGTGTGTCCGAAACAGCTGAGCACCTGGACGAGGCAACGGAGATGGACGGGGTTCCGCCACCGAGATGGTTCTTGACCAAGATAGAGCACGGCTTTCTCTTTATCCGGAAATCGGTTGGACAATGGTGGATAATCGTAAGTCTCAGTTGCAGCCGTCACTCTCTAGATTCTACACTCTACCCCGTGTACAAATAAGTAAGTGCAGGTCCCACTCAGTTCGCTCTCCCTTTCTCGGCAGTGGCAAGTTGCGTTGTCATGCGCAGGTCATCACGGCAAATGAATTCACCGGGTTCTTTCTGATTCACGGTTGAATCTTCGAATCCGAGCGCAAACATGGATCTACACATGTCTGCTATGATGTACTGCTATGTCATCATCTCTGAGGTTTGACACTTTCGCCAAGTGGTCAGAACAAATCAGCAGAGTTCCAACATAAGAACAGGAATACTTTTTTGGACCCAGAAGGCTAGTCTTTTCTGTGTCAAAACACGACTCATTCGAAGTCGAGGTCGTGTTGCTGAATCTAGCTATAGTTCGGAGACTACCAAAGAAAACTTGACAACCCTGTGTTGCAGACCGAGTATCTGGAAGAGAAGGGCAACATCTTGGACGAGCTCCGGTTGGCCCATGACGTTAACGACCTGATCGTTAGAGGACTATCCCGTGTTCGCAAACATAGTGGAAAAGACATGAAAAGGCGAGTTCTTAGGATTTTTTGGATGTTTGTTCTCAGATCATAACGGATTCCATGAAGAGCGGTAGTCTGCTTCTTTGCCTGCTGCAATTCCTGCTGCTTTGCCTGCTGCTTTGCTTGCTTTGCAAACTAAACTGTTTGGCCAAACTCAAAGGTCCGGCAACTTTTGTTATTGGGAACCGATAAAGGAACCACACGATGACTGACAAACCCATTCATCTATGAATCTATATCACAAGAATTGAAACATCACATAACTTAACCAATATTTGTTGTCCGGACATGACTCTCCGGGATAATGTTGTTCAAACGTCAGCACTTTCTAGGCATGTCTCTGTCCTTAAGATCAAATTGCTCTATCGAGTTGCAGTGTTCAGCAAGCCTTCGATGCCCCCGCTGGCACTCTGGGCGGCCTCTGCAAGATGGCTGTCACAAGAAAGAAGAGCAGAGTGGGGATAGCAAAACATGCTGTCTTTGGCGGAGTAGGAGAGGAGGCCATCGCTATTAGGTTGGAGTCCATTGCTTCTGGGTTGAAGGCCATCGCAATTATATAAAAGGTTGGAGGCCATCGCTAGTAGGTTGGAGGCCATTGCTTCTAGGTTGGAGGCCATCGCTATTAGGCTATGTTGTACTTCTGAGTCCAATGGTGTCCATTCAATCGGCGCAGCATCACATGAAGCTGGACCATCACGCGGACCTCTTACATGTGAATCTGCTTGGTGGTTTGCAGGCACTGATTTGACAATGATCAGAACTCAGGTGAGGCCACGGCAGGTTATCAACGTTCAAAAACAACAGCGAGTCCCAGGCAAGAGGTCATACACTCGACCAAACTTCTCTGGATGTCCTGACATCCCCAGCTGATAGCACTTGGGGCTGGGAGAAAAGCTCGGTTGAAAGTTGGAAAGCATCTTCTGGCCTGCACGACCAAGTCCAGAATCCGTTGTACCGGCTCATGCACCGAGTTCCAAAAGCGCTTCAACGCATCAAAGAGCAGCTTACCTCAGTGCAGCAACCGCGACTGGTGAACAGTGAGAAGAAAGACGTGGATATCAGTACCAATAACATCACACATCCAATAACCCAAATACTACATTCAAAAACCCTGGCATCAGTTGACATTTCTTGGCCCATCCCTCACCCTTCACAAAGCCCCGGTCCGGTCACCTCACCCGCATGGCCAGGTGGCATTGCGCGATCAGCGCCTTGGCCTCCGAAAGCTTCTCCTTCGAACCAACCGTCGGTGGTCCGGGGATGCACGGGTTTGAACCACGGGAACTGTTAGAGGTAGTGGGGAAAAGAGAAATCATCAGAGTTGGGATCTGAAAGCACTGGTTCTTATGAAGGGCTGTAAGTATTTTGAGACATGTGCTAACTGTTGAAGGACAGTAGTGGAATTTGGCAATGATGTTGCAACTAAGGCAACAAGCATTCAATATGTATTTGCCCAAGTCTGGAAAATCAATCAATGAGCGATGAAAATATGAAAATCTGATCCTGTCCCGATTCACTCCTGAAAAGTGCCGCGGAACTTCATGAAGAGCCTACAGAAGCAAAGCAAGGGACACGCTTGTGCCATAAAGGTTGCACTTACGGGAGAGATTGGCACCTTCAATGCCAAAACCATCTCCAGGACTCCCATCTGGGTCTTTGCCGAGTCGCTCTGTTGCTGTTGCCTTGATGTTCTGGAGGACGGTTTGACCTGCAAAATAAGACTCACAAACTTTAGGACGAACAACGTAGGACTGACGCATGCTTGATAACGGCATACGTGCAAATATACATATAATATATATATATATATCAATTGTCTTCCAAAGAAAACAAAAAGCCTACCTCTTGGGCTTCCAAAATCCAAAAAGCTATCTAGCCGAGGCGCTGCAGGCACCTGCAGTGCAAAGGTCATCTGCCTCAAAAGGCAGCACACCCGGTTCTCTTGGGCAAACATCCAAACAAATCACAGATCGGGAGACTCCCAGTGCAACCCAGGCTGGAAGAAGGAGAATAGACCAAAACCCATCTTGGATGTCAAAACCCAGAATCTGTTAGCTGCATCCCACCCAAGTGGATTTGGTCCAGTATTCCAAATTGAATGGCTCTGAAGGGAGATCTGTTTATATAGATCAACCAAAAGAAGCAACTAGGGACCCTTGGCATCGCTAATGGGAGCAAGGACGCTACGAACGGGGCTCCTGGCCTTACTGTTAGGAGCGATCGGACGCTACTAATAGCAAGAAGCAGCGTGGGAAGAAGCAACATGCATGCCAAGCTCAAGGAGGTGATGCCAAGCTCATCCGAGAACAAATGCCACAACGACACCGACGACACCTATTTCTGCGAAGACGTGGTGGATCGACATCCCACATTGCGCGACTCGCTTGTCCCGTTTACTCTGTCATCATGCCACAACTGTGGACCATGGTGCCGTCTTCATGGTGATGAAATCCTCCAACATCGAGGTCAGAAAGTTGGTCCCTGAAGGCACCAAAGGTGATGAAAATCATCAATGTCTGACCACTACCATGAGAGGCTGTGTGTGTGTGTGTTGGATGGGATTCTCTTGTTGGAACAAGGCAAATGGTGGTTATGCACTGCTTGATGATGTTTTAGGGTTACATATATATAAAGACTCGTCAGCATCCTTTTTTCAGGTTCGCTCTGCAGCAAATTTGTCAAAATAATGATAAGCAATCAGGGAAAAACCACGAAAAAACGATGACCAGGATGGTTACCCCCCCCCCTTCCTTGGTCCACTACACAAAGAAGGGGACGTACCCGGGCAACCCTCCCCCCCAACCAGGCGGGCCTGACCCCAGTCCCTGGCCAGGTCCTGGGGAGTTTTAAAGTGGGCCTTTTTCCGCTCTTCACGAGCTTCTGGAAGGTCTTTTAAGGGTTTTCTTACCCTTCTTTCCACATCCCCCGAGCCGCCGGGTTTTGGCGGACGGCCTGCTGCTTTGCAGCGGCTCAAGTGTTTTAAAAGATTTGGGGGTGGAATTCGCAAAGAAAGTACGGTATGGTGCCAAGAAATGTTGAAAAGGACCTAGTTTCATCTCTGTCAAGACAGCTCTTGACTCGTTCAGATATAGACGGGCCGTCTTCTGCGCTTGCCAGCGTCCTAGAATCATCACCCTATCTAAGTTTCCGTGCTGGCAGAACCACCATGTCGCCCCTCCCCTTCGGAGAGAGTATGGTCTTAAGTCGAGGGGTTCTAAATGCAGGGCCTCTATGCGCAGCTTAAAAAGTTTACGCCAGCGGGCCGCTGGGGGACAAAGTCGCTGGTGTGTACTAGCGAGGAACATCCAGTGTTGCAGGTAACGGAAAGCGGTGTCATGCCCCACGGTGACACTCTCTTGCGCCCCGGCCCGCTTGCCGGCCTTTGTCATGCCTAAACTGACAACAGCGACTCGAAGGCTTTCCGAGAGGTCAATTCGACTCCTTGTAACATCTAGCAATTCGCCCGTGCGAAGGGTGCCATAGAAACAGAGTAAAAGGCTGGTTGCAAAAGAGAAATGCTGATGATATAAGCTCCATCCCACCATGGAGTGGAGGATGGTCTCTGGCATGGGAGGCGCCCTGTTGGGCAATTCATGCGTGACCCAAGTCTTAACGAGGCGCCAGGCGCCAGGGAGTTGACCCCGAATCTTCGCGTCGAAGTCCTGCAACGACGCCAGGGTGTCGGCGGCCAGACCACGCCCCTCCCCGGTGCGCCAGAGGTGTTCTATGTATTCCATCACGAGGGGGTCCAGAAAACTGCGACGTGTAGGCAACTCCAATTGTTCCTCTTTGAGGAAAGCCAGAAACCGATTCAAAGCACGCTCATACCGAACACGTGTGGCGGGTTGGACCGTCAGCCCTCTCAGTGTTCCTAACCTTTGCCTTTCCTTCGCTCTACTGGCCTGTGTAGTTCCCTCAAGCACTACCTTTGGCATGTTTAAATTTGGTTTTGACTGACCACCGCGACGGCTTATCCGCCGGGTTCAGGTCAGTATGGACATAGCCCCAAAGGGCTCCAAGGTTGTGGGCCAATAGAAGCGAGTTGATTCGGCAAAGGGTTCTGCGTAAACGGCGTGATGAGGTCCTCCCTCGCGAGAGGCTGTGGAGGCACACGAGAGAATCAGTGAGGTGTAGGATACGGCAACCATGCTCACCTAAATGCTCAGTCCTCCACCGGAGACAGGCCAGAATAGCCCGGAGCTCTAGTGAGTTTATGTGCTCACCAGGTGACCGCCACCTCCAACCTGAGACTACTTTCCAACGCCACATCTTTGCATTGACAGTGTGTCGAAGCCGCTGATAGCTTTGAATCTCATCTTGGGCTGCCGTGAGCATGAGGTCTGATCCCTTGGTGGATACCAGGCGACCTAATCGTTGTACTAAGCCCGTCTCGGTGCCAGTGCTCGCTCGCTGATCGGTCTGTAAGGGTGGTCGCATCAACCTTGACTGCAGGTAGGGATTGCCCTCCAGCGTGAGTCGGGAAAGAACCTCAGCAGGTGATAGCGAGGGTCCAGCGCCCCGAGGTCCGACCAATTGCCCGAGCAGCCATGCCACCACTGGCACGGCCCAAGCATTTCCCACGAGGGTCAGCCGCTTGTCCATGCAGTCCGTCGATTTCCTCAGCGACTTAGGCATGCATACCTGAGTGTATCCCACAGGCAGTCCCATCATGTACTCCCGCTCCCGAATGTTTGGGAGTCTGTATTCACTGCGCCTGTTGGTCACACAATTGCGGGGTAAATACTGGTAAGGCGGGAACCGGTGAAGGTCTCCTTCCCACCGTGTGATGGTCTCCTTGTCACAGGCATCCAACCCGGCAGGGCGATGTCCCCGTGTGGCCCGAGGTCTCGCTGTGGTAAAAGTAGGGAATGGCCTCTCCTCATCGACCTTGGTCCACCCTGCTTCCACTGATGTTGCCCAGGGCTGATGCCCCGTCAATATCACGCGCCTGTCGTTGATCTCCACGTCGTCCGCTGCATCGTTGATCTCCCAGCTCAACCAATACAGCCGTGGCCGGCTGCACCAACAAAGAGTCCCTGCGTCGATCTCCCAGGGTTGATCCCCGAATGATTCGGACATGATGCTCTTGTCCCGCTCATCCATCGATGCTACACTCTCCATTAGGCAGTGCACCTGCCCCCAAGGGAAGCAACGTTGTACCAACTCACGCAACCGCTTTACGTGGACGAACAAGGACGACCGCTCATCACGCAGTGCTCCCTTTCGCTGGCTGTTGAGGCCAGAGACCCCCTGACATGGTGGCCCAGCACCGATTAGGATCAATGAAGCTTGCCCATAGCGCAATGCCCAACGCTGCACATCCTCTTCCGTGACCTCCGCAATGTCGTCATAGTGCAAGCTGTCCGGGAAATGGTGCTCAACCACTCTCCGGCCCGCAGCGTCCTTTTCCACACAAACGTGACCGATCACATCACATCCCAGGAGATCCAAAGCCACCCTGAGGCATCCGATGCCATCAAAGAGCCCGATACTCAAAATTCGGGGTCCACCGCAAGCCACCATCTCTCGGCGTTCTTCCCCCAGGGCCACCTTTTCCCCGTAATTTGTGAGACTGGTTGCAACGCAAACTCCTCCTCCATGTTGTGACGCGTCGCTGCAAGTGACCTTCGGGTTCATCTCCAAGCGGAAGTCCATGCGGCACAGCGGGACGAGACACAGGAAACGAGTAATCTCCAGTTTGACCCCGTTCGGGATAAGCTGTTTGTGACGTCCACATGAATTGAACGACTCAATAAAGGCCCAACAGAGGTTCAGCCCTCCGAGAAGTTGCCGGCGGAAGGTGGAAAAGTACACTAGGCCACCGCACACTACCTGCATCTGCCTTTGTGAGCAGTGTGTTTCACTCGTCAACTGGTATGCGATGGTCACATACTTAGATAGCTTCTGCCCCTTGGGATACGCGATGCCCCGTACTCCGTCCAGGACTGCCCCTTGAACCTCTGCGACAGTCTTCCGGCTCACTGCTTTGCCGGGATGACGGGGCAGTCCCCACGCCTGGTATTCCTGCCTCAGGGCGAGCACCTCCGGGGCGTCTTCCCCACACAAGCCTCCTAACACTTCATGGGGGTACTTCTCCAGCAAGTCATAATTGTCAAGGTAGACGCGCCAGACTGTCGACCCGTCGGGAAGAATCCGGTCTTTGCGTATCTCATGCGAAACGGTGTTACGCACTTTGTTGTGAGCTTGTGAGCGCATAGCAAGGACCCGGTGTACGTGCTGTGCTATCCCCACGCTGTTCAGGAACCCCATGGGCAATACCATTGAGCAAGGGTAGCAGGGTTGTCCCCGGAGCCGCTGAGGCACCAGCTCTGGCGGCAGCCTTTTGTTGAAACACAAATAGGGGTACCAACAACTAGGCAGCCGAAGGGTGTAAAAGAAACACCGGAGATCTTCGCTGGATACCACGACGGATTCGTGCGGCTCGATGTGGAAGGGCGTCATCCCGAACCAGTGTGGCAGGGTTGCGATGTCCCCGTGAAGCCCTTGACATAGAGCATTGAGTGGCACTAGATTCATAATTAAACGGTAAACCGGAGTGCCTTCCACTTCTTCGTGCTTCTCAACTCCGAATAGTCCGTTTAGTAGTGGTTTCCCATGCACTCTGAAAACCTCTGACTCAGGGACCACCCCGAATATCCCGGCCTCCAGAAGTCCAGAGGCTACCTCCGTCCAATCCCGATCTGCCACCTTTGCCCTACGTACTTGACCCCATTCATGCGATGGCTTGAGGAAGTCGGGAAAGTGTTCAATGTAATGCTTGCAGCCCTGCTCGCAAATGTCCTTTAGCTCTACCACCCCAATCTCCCGGGGTATGGCTGGCTTGATGTTCTTCCAAGTGAATTGCTGTGCTGTCTTAACTTCATCCCCTTTGTAGTCTATGGTCCGAGTTCTGAAAAAAGAGCTCCACTCGAAGTCCTCCGTCACCTCGTCAATCCCTCCCAGCCGAGTCGCGTCCCGAGCGAACGACCGGAGGATGCGGGTGCGCACCTCTGACACCATTCCATGCACCAAGTCGGATTGCCCATCCTGCAGTGATGCGGCCGGACATCCCCAAAGTGAATTCAAACTCATGCAAATGGCTTGAACCCATGAGATTACCCATGGTTCAACGGGCTCGAGAGCGGAGGCGATCTGGGTTCGAAAGGTGGGCAGAGGGAAAGTGTCCCTAGTCCCCAAAGGTTTGGGTACCTCCCCCCTTGCCGTGGTCTGGCTGCAGAGCGATGACACCCTCCGAAACGACTCGGTCAGATCCTCCCCCATCTCCCAAAGCCTCTTGCCACAAAGTCCTTTTCCCGCCTCTCGGCGTCGCACAGGGCTTTGCCCCGGGATGTCCATGCCACCTGACAAAGCACGATCGGTCGCTCCATGCGGATCGCTTGCAGGAGGCGCATCTGGAGAAATGCCTGGTGGCAGGGGAGGGAATGGTCCATCCTCCACTTCTGCCCCGACAGGGTCTGAACCCCGCGTCGTGGCGCATCGTCCTGAAGCCAACGCTCCAGCTAGGTCGATCGTCAGCCTCTTCAACCGGGCGCCAATGACCTCGTCGTTCAAATCACTGTATTTGCCAGGGTCATCTCCCCGACCACCTAGGGCCACCTCTGTACTGTCTGTAGCGCGGCCCTGTGCCTCCAGGGATTGACCCCGCTGTGTATCTGCTTTGCCACTGTCAGGGCACTCCCGCCCCGGGTTGATACTGCTAATATTGCTGTCGTCCATCATGCCATAGTCCGTCTCTAGTCCTTCTTTGGTTTGGCCTTTCCTTTCTTTCCCTTTCCTTTTGCGCCATCTTCTTTTTCTGCTTTGCCGCCCTTTCCTTTGCTCCAGTCCTTCCATGTTGCGACCTGGTGGGCCTTCACTTCGGCGCGATGCTCTGCTGCTGCTATCGAAAGCTCCTGCCTCGACGAAAGGCTTGCCCCGTCTGGGGGCAAGAGTTCCATCCGCTGGGCGGACGTCCAAGCTAGGCCTGAGGCCTGCGCTTCGAGCGACTTCAATCTCTGTGTGAGAGTGTCCATCGCGGCCGGGATCATGCCCTTCAATAATTGATCTCCTATTGTCGACAACGTCAGGGCTTCCCTGGACATTGGCCCCGACATCTTGCGGAATAATGTTTGTCTGAAGTATCTGAGTAAGGTGGGGCTCCAGGGGCCCCCCCGCTGCCGATCGAGCCCCACCTCCTGTACCAGAAGCTCTTGCATCTGTTCGATCGCTTGTGATGTCAAGACACCTGGATACTGTAGGGCGATCCCTCTGATTTTCTGGGATTCGCCGAAGATCTGATCCCCCTTCAGGGCCAAGTCTCCCCCGTCCTCCGACGACCCAGATTTGCTCTCGTCCTTCCGGTGGTGGGATCGTCTGGCCAGGCGTTGAGCTCGTCGCCGCTGCTTTCTCCTGGTGCGAACATGCGGGTCCAGACCCGACCCCCGGAATAACACTTCTTGTGGGATCTCCTTGAACTCCACCGTTGAAGAGCTGCTCGTTGAACTGGATGTACTGGCAGGGTCCTTCCCCGTATCCTTTTTCCTCTTCTTTGATCCTCCTCCTTTTGACTCCCCGCTCTTTGATCTTGGCGCGCGGCTCCTCTTTCGCTTCTTCTTTCTCTTTTTCTTTTCTTTCTTCTTCTCTTTGTCCTCTTTCTCCTTTTTCTCCTTCACCTCGATCTCCGCCGCGGCTGCTGCGGCTGCAGGGCTGGGACCCCCGACTGCGTCCATCCGGCTCCTCAAGCCTGCCAGTTCGTCTTCGGCCTTCGGACGCGCCTCCAATAACACGTCTCGCCAAGGGGCTTCGACTAACTCTTCGAGGGACTTGATGGTGCGGAGGTCGGAGCAATGAATAAGGCCTGGGCCCTCGGCTTCCCTCGAGCATCCTTCGAGGCAGAGGTGGACACGGGCAGCGGTCTTGCTTCCTGTGGCCCAGGTCAGGAGAGGCTCGTGGTCGGTGCCGTGAAGCCGAATGCTCAAATGCCGTCCTGCCACGTCCCGAGTGTCCTCGAGGATCCGCCCGGTGAAGCGACACCGAGCGCCGAAGTAGTACGCCTCCTCTGCCACAACCAAATCCCCGATGCTCGGATCCCAGGGCAGGGCCTCCTCGCCCCGAAGCGGAGCTTCTTCTCGAAGAGCTGCAGGGCGGCGTACGCCTCGTCTCAACCGAGCGGGATCTTCGGCCCTTGCGGGCCTTCTCATCTTCGGTGCCATTTTCCCTTACCTTTTCCCTTGGGCGGTCGCCCCTTGCTGCTGTATCCCAGGGTTTGACCCCGTATGATATGCTTGACCCCCTTCCACTTCTTTGTTGATTCCTGCTGTCTCCCACGAAATCCCGGTGGTGATCTCGATGGAGTCCGAGGCCGTCGTGGTAACGGCTTTCGGGCTGAAGGCTTCGGTGGAACCTTCCTGAGTCCCGCGCCCTCAGGGTCCCGGGCGACTTCAGTATCCGGACTGACGTCGTCGTGCTGTGATGGACCTTCACTCAGCTCCTCGTTCTCTTCTGTCTCAAACTCTGCCTCTTCCTCAGCCTCCTCGTGCACTTCCTCCTGCTCTGTGGCCACCTCCGGAACTGGCTCAGGAGTGGGCTCCCTTTTTGTCTTTCGGCGCTCCCGCCGTCGACTCCGGCTTCGCGATGTCCCCTTGTCTTCTCGCCGTCGACGCCGGTGTCTAGTAGATGACCCCGGAGTGCCGGTCTCGGTCTCCTCCTGCCTCTCCTTCTTGACCCCCGCTGACGCGGCCTGGGGGTGTGAATCTCCAGGGTGTTCCCCCGCAGCCACCTGCTGTGTAGGTTTGGCCTTGGTCTCCTTCTTCTCGATCAAATAGCCGCTCTGATCGACAATGCCCGATGTCTTGTCGCTCTCGAAAGCCTCTGTATCGGCCTCGAGATTGTGGAGAACCTTGGCCAAATAGTGGGTCAGTTCAGCAGCCTTCGAAGGTGGGTAGCGTGTCAGCACTACACGCTCGATTCGGGTGGCCAAGTAACAGGGATTGCACCGCCCCGACGTTCCAACAGGCTGACCTAGACGGTTGAAACAGCCTTTGCAGACTGCCATCAACCGACCTGAAGCCAAACACTACAGAACCATCAAAGGGTGTGACTAGTCTTTATCCCCGGGGGCGGGGTACCATATACTAATACTAGCATGTCGAGCCTTTGCAGCAAAGGAAAATGGGAAAGGTGACATAGGCTGTGGCAACTTGTTGGTAAACTGGTAAGAACCCTGCCTTGATCTGGCGCTTCCACCAACGACTTTTGCAAGAACCTTGGCTGATGGACATGCAACATCCCACGGATGTTAAGTGTGCGTTGATCAACCATGCAAGAACGACTAGCAACCACCTCTTCCTACATTTGTGATGATCCAAGTGGAGTGGCCGCAGGTCCTGCAGATCCTGGTCCTTGGGAAGCGCTCCCATGCTGCCTCCACTCACTGATTGAATCTGTCATCCAGTCATCAGGCACCAGTGCACAAACAGCCGCTCCCTTTTGATCTGCAAACTTTCCAGTTACACCCTATCTGAAATGTGTTGTTTTCTTTCAGTACCTACATACAAGTACACTCCTGAAGTGTGCAACACTCAAATCCCCTCTACCTGGTCTTGTCAAAAAAAAAAAATGAACAGTTTCCTGTTGGTCTTGATCCACCGGTCTCAGGTGTGAAGTCTTGACTCTGGACCCAGGTTCGCAAAACATCCAACAGCCAAGCAACCGCAGCCAGTTCTCGATCATGCGATTGGCCTTTGCCCAAGCCCTGACCACATGAATCCACCAGCAGGGCAATTTGGAACTGAGATTCCCCCGTCCGACATCCTTCATGTTGCAAGTCTAGGAAATGTATCTGTGCTGACTGTTCCCTGTACAAGGCCCCACTAGCCTACCATCATGGCCTACCCAATGGAGCAAACCCTCCACATGACGAATTCCTGTGGCAACAATTGATTGACACAAGACATGGCAAACCGTACGGAGCCGCCTTTTGGTGGCCTCCTTCAAGGGGTTCAAGAACTCGGACATCCTCCCAGTTGCCAATGCCTTCATGAGGTTACCACCTCATCTCGTCCGCACCAATCACTCCCAACACTCACGAGACTCACGAAAATTCAAAGAACTCATTTGAAGAAGTCCCTCTCCACCGCCATTGGCAGGCCGCCCTTTACATCAAACGAGCCGCTCAAGACCATCAGCGTCCCTCTCCATGTGGCCGCAGGAATCTGAAGCAGGGGTCCTCTGGGACCATCCTGCGACCAGCAAGGTTGTCCCAAGAAAATCGACTCAATTTCAAACAGAACCTAGGCAAAGCAACGGTTCCAAGTGATCAAAAGCTCTGAACATGAACAAAATCTTCATCATTTTGGGGAATTGGTTCCCCATCTACCACATTCTACCGCTACCTACCGCTACCTACGTCATCTTGAGCTTCGAAGCTGGTCCAAACATGGGAAAGACCTTCTGAACTCAAACATGGGGAACTGAAGAAGCGGTTTCAGACCAAGCGTGCAAATGACATGTAAAATACGGGACTATGGATACTATAATACTATGGATCACTGGATGTTCGACTCACCTCCAATTGAAAGACCCCAAGCCTGGATGGCAATCTGCCCAAGTTCCTTTCCGTGAAGCTCCAACATGGACCTTAAACAAATGGCAAAATGCATGTCAAAACCACTATATATATATAACTATCACTAATCCAGAAAATAGAACCAGAGTCAGAGTCCAAAAACAATCGATGATCCTCCTCCTAATGCGAATTGACAACTTCCCCAAGCGCTTCTAGGTTGCATGGGCCACGTCTCCCAGTAGTCTGGCGCAACGTTGCCACGGACATCCACGGACATTCTGTCGCAGTCAACGTCTTCTCTACGAGACCAAATCAGAATGACTTGTTTGTCCAGGCTCATCCATCATGAAATGACTTAACTCCTCTGCAGCTGAGATAAATTATAAATAAATTCAATTACAGTGTATCGTAGTCGTGAATCATAGTATCCAAAGGGACATAACCCTTCATCCAAACAGTACATACTCTTTCTCTCAAATCGGGTGTGTGTCAAAATAGGACTCAAATGGACTCAGCATCTCGCCTACGTCTAAGGCAGCATTGGCGTAGCGCTTCTGCAAGCGCTTGGGCACGTGTTGCGCCACCGGCTCCTACTGCGCCGCGGGCTCTCCGATCATCGTTGAAGTGCTTTCACCCTCACATCTGCGACTACGATAACATGAAGAAACCGCACAGGCCCCACAGGCCAAGTCCACACCAGGGCGGCACAAAGTCTCCTGCAGCTCCATCAAGCTTGAATGTGCCGGCCGAGGGGAATCTGGCAGCAAGTAGTAGTAGAGGTCCTGGCTGGGTCGTCAAAATTTCCTGAAAAAATATCACATTGTAGATGACCGGATGGTAATGAATGGCAGGCACTGAACCCAGCTAGCAGCTATCACAGCGACACCCGGGACAACCATTTGATGAGGTCGCTACGTGCCTCTGTCCGAAAGACGTCTTCCACTGCAAACTTCTCACCTGCTGTTGATTTTGGTGAAGTGAACACCGAAAATGCTCTGACGGCTTCCCCCCCCAAAAGCCATCTCCAAAAGCTGAGGCCATGCAGCTGAGGCCTGAACAAGAGTTTTGGAAGACACACGGACACTCGGACAGCGCCATGAGTCATAAGCGAAGTTTTAAGCTTGCCAACGTGCCTATGTAAATGTCCAGGACAATGACTCCCACAAGCATCAAGGCTGCCAACAGGATGGCATGACCTTGCTGAGAAGCTTGGCAAGAGGCCCAGACACTCCTGCTGCAAGCATGTTCGCATGTTGAATGACCCCGGGACCCTTCAAAATACGGAGACCCCTGAATTGTAATAGCAAACACCCACAGATCCGTCGCACGTGCGTGATTCGTGATCATATAGCGGTGATGGGATCTGAACTTGCCTAGCCATGCGTTCAAATGTCTATATACTGAGCTGAACCCCTCCCTATCATGTCTCGTTTAGATACGGGTCTGAAACCCCTGTTTCCAGGATGGAAAAATGGAGGCACTCACCCAACTCTGTTGACTCACTCAGAATATCCTTGTAGATTTTGACGATCCCTCACACAGTCCCAACAGCAGTGGATTGATGCTCTCCAACTCGCTTCAGCAGTTCACCGTCCACTGCTGCTAGTTCGCTTTCCATTTTCCACTGCAAACCAAGCCGCAGCCATTCTGCATCAACTTGACGTCCTTGCGATCGAAAACGACGCCTTCCACCAGCATGCCTTCGATCACCGGTACCGCCGGTACCGCTCTCGCACCCTTCGATCCACGGCACGGGGGTCTCCTGACTGAAGATCGAACGGGCGAAGCAGTAGTTGGAGAGCAAGGTGCACAGCAGCGCCACTCCCAGCGAGGCGATCAAGGCGAAATTCCAAGGTCTGAGCTCCGCCTGAGGAAATCAACCAAAGACACACACCGACTCAAATCAAAACTTTGTTTGCAAACATTGTACGTGCTTCTATTGAAATTGAACACATCTGGCAAGCTGTCTGTGTTCTCGCCCCATCATCAGAATTTAACGCCGTCACTCCACTCTTTTGATAGTTCACCAGCTCGGGGATTGACCAATATCCCAGGCACTACGTGCAAGTGTGTATTGCCCTGCGTTTGCGTCGAATCAGCTTTCACAACGAGGCCCAGACCAGCACGTCACAGTTCACCAGCGTGCCACCTCAGCAGGCTCTTAGCATACTGGACGTCCCGTCGCTAGCCTTTCAAACAAGGATGGTCCTGATCTGTCGCATCTTCCCTTTTCAACAAGGGGAGCCAAAGCGTGTTTCGTAAAATGCCGAGCCACAAATGTCGGGATCGCTATCTGCATCGTGGTGTTCAAGGCTTGCTTGGAGGCCATCGAAAGTGCTGAAGTCGACCTTCGTGCAGAGGGGTCAACTGGCTGATCACTTGGCCTTCATAGCTGGGCATGTCTCAATGGATCGAAGTAGCACAAGCTTAAGGACAAATCAACTGCAACTACTGAGTAACTGCTGATCTTCCACTCCCACTCCCCAAACTGGAGCCGCCCCAAACTGCTGCCCAAACTGTTGCTTCCACACAAACCGTCATGCGCGGACTGAGATTCTGGCCTCTTCAAAAGCCTCCACCTTCTTCGGAGGCTCAAGCACCAAGCCTTGTTCCGCACTCGGAGATCTTAGAGATCCCTTCACATCTCTTCTACCAACCACGCCCAAAGTAAGGCAAAGGATCCCTATCAGCCGTTTCTTTGGCAAACTTCCAGATCAAGATGACCGCATGCTCCAAAACGCAAATGCTCCACTCAGACAACTCCTTTCCGCCCAAGAGCTGAAGCTCACAGACCCGTGGTGCACTGCCACTCGGCACTTTTCGAAGCTTCGCCTGCCGCATGGAGCACAGACGTGCTGCGAGACAGATCCAGTTGAATGGAATGAAAAGGGGCAAACACGCATGATCTAGCATTGAAGTGCCGGTGAAGGCTAGATCAGCCAAATCCCAAACAACCTACAGCACTTCTTTGGCTGTGAAGGACAAAATACAGCTGGATGTGTATGCTTTGTGCCTATGGCTCGTTTGCAATCCCTTGTTTGCAAGACCAAGGGCTGCAACACAATATCACGCCTCACCAGCGGATCCTTGGGTTTCTCATCGAGGATGTCGTAGCAGAAGCGGGTCAGCTTGTCCTACAGTCCAGGAAGTTGCACGGGAATGTCTCCCAATGGTGGCCGCTAACCAAACAGACACATCACATCATAGGACCCCAAATGAACTCATTGGGTCTGCCTGAGCCCTTCGAGGTTGATGCTTCCTCCCCTTCCACAAAGAAAGCGGAGGGAATTGCTCCGCAATGTGCAGGAAAACCTACATGCCCTTTGCTCCGACAAACCCTGGTTTCCCCATGATGATCTGATGTCGTACCGCTCTCTCGCCCGTGGTAAATTCAGTAGTGGATTTTGAGTATCTGTTGCTTGTGCAGAGAACCGATCATTTCTAGCCAACTCGCACCTTGCCTGGCATCTCTTCTCGTCCACGAAAGCAGCGAAAGCGCTGTCCTGTGTCTGCAAGTCAAAGTTTAAAGCAGGGTCGGGCAAACAATCACCTGAAAATAACTGTCCTTCGAGAACATCAACAATCAAGCTACATGTTTCTACGGTTCAGCAATTAAGTCCGAAAGTTGTCCTTAGGTTTCAAAAACACCCAATGTTTCGTTCAAAACGCCACTACTTATCAAGCACTAAGTGAATATACTGACTCAGATTCAAAAGAAACACCGCCTAATACGCCCACGGCGTGTTCGGGTTGCCGCGTGCCGAAAAATGGAAAGCCGGGGACAAAAAGTATGGAACGAGAGCGAAACGATACACCCTCGCGGGTCCTTCGGATGGCAAAGGTCCAAGGCTGTCGTGGACCAAAGCCCAGCTTCAAGCTCAAAGACCTTGGGCGGTCGCCCTGCAAGTCGTCTACTTCCTAACCCAAACTGGCTTGAAGTTCAAAACAAGAGTCCTGTGGCTTTCAGTCAAAACCTATACACCTGAATCACTTGAACACTGGACTCATTCATTGACAAGATTCCCCACAGATTCCTCCCCTGACTTGGCCAAGGTCCCGGCGACTTTCGGTTCGGTCTCCCGCACCAAGCTATGACTTGCCACCTCGCACTCTGCTGCGTAAGTGACTTGGGGGCTCAAATCCCCAGAGAAGTGCTGGCACGTCAAACAGCAATGTAACGGAATGTAAAGCTCCTGTTATTGGGAAGGTTCGCTTGGGGCTGCCCTGAATTTCGTGGCTCCTACAAAAGTTCCCTCAATGATCTTCAAAGCGCACAATCCTCACACAGGGTTGCAGAAAAGTGTGTTGATGGTTCTTCCTTCTTACAGACATGCTCTTGTGGAGTTCATGCGGCGCGTCTTTTCAGACTTGTGGAGTTCACTTTCGGACGATAAATCTCTGTTCTAAACGGTCCCAAGAGAACCGTCAAGTCCCCAAGTCTCGCATGTCGCACACGGATCGTTTGTGGAGACTGGTGGGCAGGTGCAGCAGGTTGTGATTCTCAGTGCGGAAGATCAAACAGTCGCTGTCCAGTTGCAACCAAGCCTAGTTGGGGTAACAGGAATTTCTACTATTCCAGTACCAGCATCAGTGATGTTTGTCCTGGTGGACCTCTCACATCCAAGCCACGTCATGGGTGCCAGGCAGAATGCTGGTCATGGCTTTGAACCTGGTCAGTGTGGAAAGAGAAGGACCAGGAGTTGTGGAGTGCAGCTTCCCAAGGGCTCAGCCAACGTGCGTCACAAGCAGGATTGTCTTACAATTGCCGGTCACCCAACTGTAGATTCTAGAAAAGGGAATCCAGCAGGCTGATGTTTAAGGTTGAGAGTCTAGAGCTTAAAAAGACTCTCAACCTTTCTGTTGTTCAACATCTGGCTTTCAAAGCATTTCAAAGGGTCTCATGGACCTTCCGCAAGACACCACAGGAGGGTTCAGCCAACTCCCACAACACATTATATACAGTATCTCAATCGCTTCCAACACAAACCTTGCGCAAGCTTGGTGTGAACTGAAGGGAAGATGATCAGCCTCTGTCTGTCCGGTTCAAAGACTCGTCTGGGGATCTTTCAGCCAAGTCCATCAAGGGTTGTTGGATTTTTGAAGCTTAGAGCCGGAAAGTTCACGTTCCACTGCAAAAAGAAATAAGAAACGCGCAATGTTCAGGGCTGGCCTTTTTGAGATTTGATGACGTGGCGCGGAACAAACGGTCCACAACTTCTTTCACTTAGCACCCACGCATCTCAAAAACCTCAGCAGGCGCCACGCTCACCTCGAAGCAATGCCACCTGCTTCGCCGAGAGAACCGAAGGAGACGATTCTAGGACCAGGAATCCAGGCGTGAACCGTATGGCTGTATGGGCCCTGCTCAAAAACTGATAAAGCCACGAAGTGAATGCACCGCCCGGGTTCCTTGTGGGCCTCCAGTCAGTCCTTGGCTATTGCTTTCTTTGATACTTCCTTTTGGCTCAAAGGCTTGATCTACGTGCAGGGTTTTAATCTTTCATACCCACCCTGCCACCCATCTTATAGCCTGGGTCTCTTGGGTCTCTTTTTGTGAAGCCTGCAAAAACACTTACACCCTGCTATCCTACATACTATCCTATCTCCTACCCTTCCTAACCACTAAACCCAATCCTATGTTCTATCCCAATGTATCCCTATCCTACATCCTATCCCACGTCCCTCACTTTCCTGTAGCCTTTGGTCGCGCCCACACACTGGTGGCCTTTCCGAGATGGCAGCCCACACCTGAGAACCAGCAAATCACAGTGAGGAGGACGGGCCATCAACAAGAACTGGGGTCACCCAAACAGCAAAGCCTCCAATCAAGCTCCTGGACCCGCTTTAATTCCATAAATTTGGTCAAACGTTGGCAGCCGTGGCCATTTCGAAGAGAAACGTTAACAAATATCAATCTCTGGCAAGCCTTCTTGAACTATTCTCCCTATTTCAATCATAGGGCCTTAGGGATAGGGGATCCTCCAAATTCCATCATGTTGTGCCAGAGAGGCATAGGGAAAACTGGCCTGCCCCACTTTTGCGCCTGCGAAAACTAATCGCTCACACCCATTCTCACGCTGCTCCGAGAGGCCAGGCACCCAGTGACCATCAACGACGCCAGGCATCTCAACAGCCGTCGCCCCCGACCGGGCAGACCGCCTCCCGCGGCGCTGAGAGGGTACACATATGGATACATTGCGGTATGCCCCGGTGATACAAGCAGGATGGAAGAAAACTCTTGCACCAGTCGGTAGAGATCACTTACAGTAGATGGCAGAAAGACCCAGGAGTGGTGGGCTTTGGTGTGGGAATATATATATATACATAATTCCTTGAACAGTTCCATCAATCTCTTTTGTTATATGATTTATACAACATATATGTCACGGCGAGGGTTCCCTTCATGAATTCACTGGTAGCTTTGAAAGGCCAAATTGTTTGATGCTTGAAAAAGAAGGTGTGTAAGTGTTTCAGCACAATCGTGAGGTTTATGGGGCAAACTCATGTCCCATGTGGTTCGATGTTGGCAGCAGCCATCCACATCTTAGACCTTTCCGGGTCCAAGTCCTGTCTGCGAAAGTTCAGGGCTAGGCACCCCATTCCAACATCCCACAATCCCTACCACCTCCACTGGGCGGTTCATCTTCACCCGTCAAGGAAGACGAAGCGCCTGAAAAAAGTCGAGTCAAAACAGGTCGAGCGGAAGTCCCTCCAGTGGGCGTTCCCCGCTTGTTGGTACAAAAAGCGCACTTTCCAGAATTTAATTCCGAAAGCGCACTCACTATACGGTTGCCTCAGAGAAGTGCAGAATTGCAAAAGTCTTTCACGCGGTGCATGTTCACCAAGTTCAGTGCAGTGCTAAAAAGGAACAGAGTGCCTGAATCAAGTGGCTGCCACGTGAAGATGCTTCTAGAGCCATGCCTTGCCTGCAGTGTCCATTGCATGGGGGGATCACCTGCCAAGGAGAAAGTCATGGCCGGGACAGGAGCATCTTCAGCATCCTCTCAAAATGATCAGCTTACGGTTTCGATCGGTTTTGGATACAATCAGAGATGCCAAATAGTGTCAAATGTTTATCCATCCCATTCTAGAGGATGAATGGCTTTGGGATTATCCTCTGGAGATTTGTTGCCAAAGAACATTGGCACACAAATGTTCTCTTGGGATATGTTCCCCTGGCAACATCTGCTTCGAAGGAGGAAAAAAAACAAAGCTCTTGGAATGCCGCTGGGCAACGGCCAGGCCTGCAGCCATTCATGCAGAATACGGAAAACACTCACGAGTGGAAGGACACCTGCTGAAAGATACTACGAGCCAAAGGTTACGGCAGTCCATTCTCAGAGCACTCCCCAGGCTTCATGAGAACGCGTCCCACAGTTCAACCCTGGCTTAGAATTGTGTCAAGCAACTAGCCGTTGGTGTCATGAGTCCCGTTAGGAGGCTGGTGTTGAATCCCAAAGTCGCTCATCTTGCAACATTTAGAACTACACCACGGACAGCAGTTGGAGGGATGGTTCATCTGCCGCCAAGGTGCTACCAAAAGAGCACTGTCGACCGGGTCGCACACACTACCTGCAAGGCACTCCTTAGCGCAATGCGATAGGCCTGATGAGCATGGACAACCTCTGGCTATCCAGTGAACCTATCGCCGAGAAGCATCCTTATGACCTTATGCCACCCAGTCGTCTGGCTTGGCAACAAACAACCATCACAAGCGCTCCACCACACGCTGAGAGGATCCCTCCGATCACATCACCCACTGTTTTTGCATTGCTAGTGACCCACGGATTCACACCGTTGCCAATGGAAAGACAACATCTTCTCCCACTTCAAAGAAAACATATTCAACAAATGTTGCCAAGTCTCAGTGCACTCTGACTGCCCTGAGTTGGTGGCCTGGGTTCCTGGTGCACACTTCGAGCAACTGGAACCTCAGCTGATGGTGGCCCTTCTCAGCCTCGTCTTCAGCCTCTTTTTTAAAGCCCGCTTCCCCCCCTCCCTTCTTAATTAAGTAGGCGCCTACTTAATTACAGTAAGCAAAGGAGAGGTACCTAGTAGCGTAAATAGCTACTGATTGGAACGCAGGATAGCTCACGCACTAATGATTTGGTTCCCAAATGTTTAGGGAAACTTTACTAATGGCCTCCAACCTACAGTAATAGCAATGTTCTCGGGCGCTCTCAGTGACTAGGAGCTTCATCCGGCTCTTCAAGATCAGGGTCTGCAGGTATGAAGATTCAACAGCTTGAAGGTGATCGGACAATCTATTGAATTCTGTTTTGGTGAACCGGAAAGGAGGATGTGGTTCTGAAACATATCAAGGTGCACAAAAGAACATCTCGAAACAATTCTGAAAGTGTGCGGTCAAACCCCTTGATCAAAAGTCTGCCACATGACTGCCGCCAAGACGCTTCGCAAGGATCGGAAGTTACCACGATAACAAGGAGCACATGGTGAAGTAGGGCCTCCTGTGTCAGTCTAGCCCAGCAACGCTTGACAAATCCTTGAAACTTTAGGACAGCCTTCTGTTCCTCTTCAATCTGTCGGCCTGTCAGCCCTGCAAATTGAAGCATGCACAAGCTGTCTCTTGTCCAACCCAGCCCAAAACAGTTGTAGGCTACACCCAGAAATCCCGGCAAAAGAAAAAACAGTCTTCTCTTCCCGCCCTAAAACGAACAGAAACCTGGCACTGTCCGCTCGCCTGACATGTTTAGCTCCACAAAGTTCATCATCGTCCACAATTCAGCAGTTCTCACCTCGAAGCCCAAGTCGCCTTGGCTCGCCGCAAAGTGGTCAAGTCGGGCGACCATTGGCCAGAGTCAACTCTGTGAGGAAGGTTTTGGCCCAAATGTCAAACTGGCAAAAATCGTCATCTGGAAGCCAGTGAGCACACTGAACAGTTGGACCATCATTTTGAGTGCTAAGCCCAACAAACTCTGCCTACCCCTCTTCCCCTTTCCTTCGCAGCTCTTCGAAAGCGATGCGTCCGACGCGACCCATCGCTTTCGTCCGAGAGGCAGGGATACCGAATCACCTTTCGCTCCTCTTCTGGAGGTCGTTCAGTCACCTTGGTGATTCACAGAGTGCATTTGGCCTGAGGGCGGGGGAGCTTCCTTGAAGAAGCACTCGCACTAGTCATTTGGTTCCTAGATTTTGAGGGAAACTTCAGTTCGACATAGATCCACTCTCTGACTCTAACTCCACGGAAAGAAAGGTGATGGCAGTAGATTCTGAAGAATGCAAAACCTACTTGTAAGGTATTCAGGCTTTGAATTTGGATTCCTTTGGTACCAATGCACTCCCATACCATCCAGATGCTATCCCATACCTGCTATCGCATACCTGCTCGGCGCTCCCATGGATCCACGTCACCATCGCTTCGAGGCTCTGGTAGTCGGACTCCAACTGCCGTTCCAACACGGGTCGTTCCGTCCGTTCTTCCGGAGGTTCACCCGGAGGTGACCACGGTTCTTTGGGGATTCAAAGCAACAAACAAGCGCTCGAGATTGAAAAAAGAACTGAAAAAAGAGGGGGATGATCGGATGAGAGAGAGAGAGAGAGCTCCACCAAAAGAGGACTGGGCAGGACCCTGAATGCGGGCTAGGACCACGACCTGAGTCACTGGGCTGTGCCCCGAAACATGCCAATGGGTTAGTGATGGATGTTAGTGTTAGATGTTCGTTTTGAGGGTTGTCTCAAAAACATGCATATATTGCCATGTTATGCCCAATTGGAGATCATGTATAAAGGAACAAAAAGAGCTCATTGGTCTTGGTTCCTTCAAGGCACAATATCTACTGACCCTGACCGCAAACTAAACAGAGACGGCAGAATATGTGCGTTTCTTTTTAGATAATTTTCCTTTCAGAGTATCAATTCGCGGACGATGTGACCTCAGTCAATCTTAGTTGATCTTCAAACTTCTCGGTCAGTGTCTTCATCTGTTCCTCCACGATCTGACTGCTGTGCAAAACAGCTGCATGTGCCACTCGCTCAGGCGCGCGTCGCGCGCCACGGCGTGCCACGACGTTCTCTTCGGACCCCTCGGAGAAGTAGATCTCGGCGCATGACACAAGTGACAGGCCAACCCAGGTTGAGATCACAGTTTATAACTTGACTGTTTGGAGCCCGTTGGGTCCAAGTCTAGGGTATCTAGATTGCGACCTTGCAATGAATCACAATCGACTTTACCATTCAACCACAAGTCCTTCCCAAAGATTGCTCATGATTTCGCCCACGGGCCAACTTTTCAGCAGCAACTTGCCCATCGCCCGAGCCACAACTCCCCGCAATTGCCTTTTGGCCGAGGCACCCCTTTCAAGATGGGCTGCACCCGAGTGTATGCCAGCAGCTCCTCTGTTGTGATGGCCTCCACATAGATCGGAACAGTGCTCTGCGGCGCTGCCCCAGGCTGCTGCGGGCCTGCCTGCTGCGGGCCTGCCCCCTGCCCGGGCGGGGGGCCCTGCCTCAGCGGTGTGTTGGAAGGTATCTGTGAAATGTGAAGTTGGAGCTCCAAGACTTGTGGATGAACTCAGGTGGCTTGTTCTTGCTAAGCTGCCAACCATGTATGATCACCAGGCATCAAGATCGCTTCTAGACCCTGTTGTAGTTTAACACCACTGTTTGGGCTGACATGCAGCAAGGCGGCAGCCTTCGAGCAGTCGTGAGATTCTGAGCCTCGGTGCGGACAAGGCAACCCACAACCCCTTAAGGCACTTGTTACTAGTAGCTTAATTGTTACTAAGTGCTTCTTGTTACTACTAGTAAGGCACCTGTTACTACTAGCGTGGCACTTGTTACTAAGGGCACTCATCACATCCACAGATCGCAATTGTCCTTTCACTGGAGGCTAGTAGCCGCTAGGCAAAAATCTTTACTCCACTCCAAGAGGATCTACTGACCACATCTGCTGACCAACCCACAGACTGAACTCAAGCTCATTGACAGCCAAGAAACAGCAAGCTGTGTCACTTCGATGTTTACTGCGCGCAGGAAGCCTTTGTTGTTGAAGCTCAAGGGGTGGTAGAAGGAGTCCTTGTGACTCAAACCGTACGTGCGGAACGAACCTGGCGACCAACCTGTGGTCTTGAGTCCTCCTCAGCAGAGAAGACCATGTGCACATCAAAGTTATGGTGGTTATGGTGCCGGCGAATGGAATCAAGGAGCTGAAGCGAAAGTCATTCGGACTCGTTGCTGTGGTGCATGCACATAGAACATCACAAACACACGCCGATTGCTCTCGCAGTGACAACGGTGACGACAACAACAAGAAGGCTTCGTTTGATACCCACAAAAAAATATTCTGCAAATGCAGGTTTGATTGGTCTGGACATACTACAATGGCTCTTGATCTTGGTGCTCCGTGCTACAGTACCTGCTACCCAACAAGCTACGTATGTGCCACTTCTCCTGCAGAAGATTTCTTACATTCCTTGCATCCCCACTTGCAGGCCTTGTTGCCCTCCCTGGTCAAATCGCGTGATAGGGTGCTCAAAATGGCAGAGTTACCTGGAGCGTACGATTTGATTGAATAGCAAAATTGAGGAGTCGAGGAGGTGATCTGGACCGATCCAGCTTGCAAACTGCCTGCTTTTCCCATGTGCCGCTTCTGAATACTCCCTCTGAAGCCATAAATGTGACAGTTCTACTAAGCTTCAACTTCTTCAGAAATGCCCCTACATACATCAAAGCGCTCCCTCGCTTGACTTATCTGGCCTTCAGTCTCCACACCCGCGGAAGCCCAGCCATCGACGATCATGTAAGTCCTCAAACAACTGCCCCTTGGCACCCTAAAGCCCAACCAAGTTCCGGAACTTCAGATTCTACCAGAGCATGCTGGACAAAACTTTGGGACCAAAGAATAAGTTCATCAATGCATGTCACTCCTCTAGTTTGGCCAAGTGTCACGGCCACCCCGGCAGCCGCCGCTTGCGCAGCCACGAGACTTGGGGCGGTGCCGTAGCGGCCTCAAGGAATCGGTGCTTCAAGAAGGGTTTACGAGTCCGACCCTCCCGCAAGCTAACGCCTGAGAATTGACCGGTGGAAAACCATTATTAAATTATATATATATATATCCTCTACAACGCAGTGCTTGTGGGGTTCCATGTTAATCTGCAGGGGAGTTCATCCGCCCGCAACGACAACGACCTCCACCGGTCGCAAAGGACGATGACCAATTGATGCGGCTGACGATGCGACGATGACCAGAGAATCTGTGTGACTCTTGATTGCGGAGGGCTGGCTGTGGTGGTTATCAAGTAGCATGCTATCGGTATAACCAACACTGTAACGTTGTGCTGAAGTGTTCACAAATATATGAGACAAAAGGTTCGCAAGGTTTCAACTAGTTGTTAGGCAGTGACTTGCATACTGTGCAGGCTATTAGTTATTAGTCGAGAAGCAATAACACCCCACCACAGGTCGTCCAAGTCCCTGTGACTTGGCAGCTCCGTGTCGTCCAAGACTCCTAAAAGAAACTTCTCAGGGATTTATCCCCTCCCTCCAACAAGCGTGGAAACGGGAAGAAACAGTGTCTTCCAAAGGAGAGGGCCATGCCATCCACTTCCATGCTGTACGGAAGGTAACCCCTAAACCCAATAACACCCCCACTTCTGCTACGCCTTGATAACTCGTGAAGAAGTCTCTTCTGGAGATCGTCTGGCAACTTCCACCGCTGCAAGGCCTAAGACATAGGAAGCCAGAAAATCTGCTTGACCAAACTTGGGCCACCAAAGTACTAAAATTTACAGGAAAATGCTTACAATATCTTACAACCTGATCTTGATCTTGGCCCAGCAAGCCAAGATTGATCTTGGCTAAGCCTAATATGTACTTCCTTTTGCTTACTACACTGCACTGGCATCTCGGCACCACCCGCATGGATACGGATTTCCACTGAACATCTCTGAACATAGGCTTAGCCACTCGAAGCGGTCGCTCCTTGGCTGTCTGAATTCCACGAACTTTCCAAGCGAGGCCCAACATAGATGCAAAAATCGTCACGGACTATGCTTACATATAGTAATATGTGTATAATATGTAGAGAGAGAGAGAATACCTAGTTCATATTATACTATATCATGTCAAATCATATTATATCATACTGGTATCATATCATACTGCATGTATATAGATATGATATGTATATATATATATACGGCTCAAGGTTTGGGCTCAAAGGCCGCCAGAGGCCATTTACATGCGGCGCCACTACCAAGTTTGCAAGGGATGCCACAGCTCATGGATCTGGGCAGACCGAGTAGTCCAGAAACCTGGACTTTGTTGCAATCAGTGTGGGAGAAAGTGGCAACAGCCGCAAGTTCCGGACCTTCGCCAACGTCGAGTTGAGTGGGCCAGTTGGAACTTCCAGAAGAAAGGACAGCAGTGGCCAAAGAAATCCTACAAGGAGACCCTGATTGACCCTCCTCCTGGACTTCAAGGTGGTAAACCCAACAGGCCGCCAAAAATGAAGGGCATTGAAAAGAAACTACAGGAGCATTGGACCAACATCCCGGACATCCTGAAGAAGCAGTTGGAGGAGATGGGCATCAAGGGAGCACAACCGGCGCCCCCGCCAGATCTGCCAACCTTGATTAAGGATCATTTGGAGAGCCTACCGACAGTCCTCAAAGAGGAAGTTGAAAAGATCATCCAGCCCACGAAGATGGAACCGCCTCTCAACCAGAAGCTCAAGCAAGCGGTTGGGACACTCAAGCAGCTTTCGGAGAAGAAGGCAGCAATCCAGACCAAGGCGGATGCCATCAAGCAGCAGTACACACAGCTTCTCAACGAGCTCAAGGAGACGCAGAGCAAGATCGAAGCGGCACAAAAGGACTTACAGGAGACCACAAATCTCTACAACCAACAACTCGAGCAGGAGAAGCAGGTAGCTGAAGAACCCCTCCCAGAAGAACTGGCAGCAGAAAACCTGCTGACCGTGATGGCCAACATAGGCCTATCCGCCACACCGGATCAGGTCAAAGAGCTGGCACAAAAGCTGAGCGAGAACGTCATGAAGAGCAGGAAGTGTGGGTAACCCTCAAGAGGTTACGGAGAAGCCCAACCTTGAACGAGCACAGAGCACATGTGTCACACACCTAGGGGAAACAGGTGCCTTGAACACATGTCTATGGGGGTATTTTGGCTCAGACCACACGGGAGGGGATGCCCGTGTGAATGCAGCTACATGGGGAGCTCCAGCAGATGAAACTATGTTGGAGCAACAAAGGGAGGAGAACTTCCCAGGATTTTGTGGAGGAGTTCAAAACACGGACTCCATGGACCATGAAGCAGACATCAACATGATGGACGGTGAACCTCACCAACCTACGACCTCCCCTACCAGCACTTGCAGCTCTCTTGACTATGTGGTCCAGAACTTGCAGTGCCGACTGGGGAACTATTGTTTTGCCAATGGGCCTTTCAGGTTGTGGGCATGGGCAGGTAGCTTCATGCAGGGCAAAGAACTTTGGCAAGGCACCACTTCAGCAGTCACAACAGCGCTGGAAGATGATGGAGTGGTAAACATCACTACATTGGAGACCTTGGCGCCTTTGTGGGAAACCTTCAACGAAGCAGTACAAGATGATGCAGCACACTTCTTGCAGCAGCTGGTTCACTTGGCCAGCTCCAAAAAGGTGATCACACAATATCACCATGTGGACCATCGACAGGAAGTGCACCTTCGAGCAGCCTTCCCGACCCATCTCATCTACCCGGAAGATGGAGGAGAAGAATTTGAAACCTTGATCTCCACATGGGCAAACACAGCGGAAGGACAAGTTCTTTCAGGCAGAGGACTTTGGGTGGCGCAAATTGGGCGTTACACCTATAGACAAGGAGAATGGACCAAGCATCACAAGACCTTGCAGGTGCCAACCATCTTTCAACTGCCGGTATGCTTGGATGGCGTGACAACAAAGACAGAACAGTATTCCTTGATTGGGCTCCTATGTCATTCTGGTGATGCACACCACAGTGCACTTCTACGCCATCTTTGTCTACCGCGGCTTATATTGGTTGGTGGATGATGGTTCGTACCCACGAGCTCTCCCTGTCCTACAGGAGAACATCAAGCAACAGATAGTGCAAGTGTGGGCAGTTCCGTCAGCCTACCTCCTGCCGGATCCCACGTGACTTCCCCACACAAACACAAGGAAGTCAACGAGCAGAACCTGAACACAAAAGGAGGAAGCAAGATCACATTGACTTCACCTTTGCCAATGTGACGAGTCTGGGGCAAGCAGTTCGACAATGGATCGGAGGCAGAACGAGGAGCCCTTTGTTCATTGCAGAGACTCACCTGGCCCTGGATGATCATCACAAAACTATGCAATGGCTATGTGGCCGTGGTTTTGGAGTTCTTGGAGCACCAGCAGCACAGAGTCCCAAGGGAGGCACACATGGGGGGCTCATGATTGTCTACCCTGCACACCTGCATTTCCACCAGATCCATCAACAAATGATTGATGGTTGTGGGTGGGTGGCAACTATGTGGACCTTCAGCGACTTGAAGCTCATCATGATCGTGGCCAGTTCAAGGCAAGACGAACTCGGCGCTGTGGGGTGGGCTGATTTCCTTTGTCACAGGAGTCAACCACCCATGCATCATCATGGGGGATTTCAACATCACTCCGGGGGAGTTCATGGCCACCACCATGGGGACGGTCATGCAAGTTCAAACGGTGGCTACTGGAGAAGAAACCTGCAGTACAGGTAATGAGCTGGACTGGGCTCTGGCCACCAACCAGATCAGCCCGGATTTAGTGGTTCAGGTTTGCTGGGAAGTGCCTTTCAAACCTCATGCACAGCTCAACTTCAAGCTCAACATGGCCACCACAGCTCTGCCAGTGCAGCAAATCACGAGGTTCAACCCGGCACCAAAGCTGGAGAAGCCGACAAAAGAATGGGATCAGTTTGATCAAGTCGAATGCCCCGTCAAATGGTTGGACATGGAGGATGACCATATCAGCAAGAAGGCTGGTGCAATCTATGGCAAGATCGAGGCCTATGTCCTTCAAAACCTGGACAAGCCAGCAACAGGACGGGGCACGCGCTTGCAGTACCAGACCCGAGCAAACCATGGATCTGGAAGAAAGGTAGTCTATCCTTCTGGAACCAGATGGAGCTACGCTTGCAACAGGTGACCCAGAAGAGGACAATCCATCCAGCAGATCTGCCCCAACTGCAAAAATTGGGCTGGCGCATCAACCAGCATTGGCATGACGATGGGCCCATTGAGCAAGAAGGCTTCCAGGTTCTTTTCCAGATGCTTTGGGGTCAATTTGAACCAGAACACGGACAAGCTCTTCTGATGTATGCCAAACAACAGAGAGAGCTTCATTTTCAGAGCAGTACAACAGCGGACACAGAGACCTACAGAGAATGGCTTGCCAATGCCACCCTCAAGGGACACAGAGGCTTGTTCCGCAGCCTCAAACAAGAAGAACAGCCTTTCTTGAGGCCCTTCCAACAGTTGCCCAGGGAGGAGCGCATGGAACAGAGAATGCAACAATGGACAGCCATATGGGGACAGAGACAGGAGCAACACAAAGTCACTTCACTGCCGGCCATGATCGAGAAAGGCAAAGAATACGCAGCCAAGATGAAACCCATTGAAGACAAGGATTTGTGGAGAACAATCAAGCTCCTCTCCAACAAAGCACCTGGCTTGGATGGCATTGGGTTCGATTTCCTCAAGGCCCTCCCCTACAACGCCATGAAGGAGCTTGCAGCTTTCTTTCATCAAGTTGAAGCCATGGGAACAGTTCCTCATCAATGGCTGGTATCACTGGTGGCCATGATCCCTAAATCCAACGAGATTGAACGACCTATTGCATTGGTGGCCACACTATACCGACTTTGGTGTCGGGTCCGCAACCCATACACGAAAGAGTGGCAAAGCCAGCTAGAGGACGAGTACCCATGGGAGAGAGCGGTCCCAGGGACCGAGTGTTTGCAAGTGGCGCTCAAAAGAGCGTTCCTCACCGAACACCACCAGGCCCTAAAAAAGACAGTAGTGTCTGTCCTCCTGGACCTGTCCAACTTCTACGACAGGATCAACCTCCAGAAACTGGCTGAGAGATGGTTAAGCTCCAACTACCCCGGCACCCACGCCTCCTTTGCCATGCAGATTTATTGTGGCACCAGGATCCTTGAGGCAGAGGGTGAAGCTTCAGCTCCAATGTGGACCTCAAATGGCATCCTGGCGGGAGATCCTCAGGCTCCTTTGGCTGCCAAGATCTACCTGCAGAAAGCGCTCAAGGCATTCTGCAAAAAGTACCCGTTCCTGCATGTCGACCTTTGGATCGACGACTTGAGCTTCGATGTCATTGAACGGGATCCACAGAATGCTGTCCGGATAGCCATACAGGCCTACACCTACATCAAGCAGCTCTTGGAGGAGGACGAGCTCAAGATCTCCGAGAAGAAGACGGGGTTCGTTGCGTCGAACATTGAGGCAAAAAGGCTGCTGCAGCAACAGCTCCCACCAGGGGGGCCGGCGGTGCACGACATCATGAGGGATTTGGGGGTGGACTGCACTGACAGCAGATTGAGACGCATCAAAACGATGAAACAACGCCGGAAGAAAGCAGGAGGCAAAACCAGGAAAATGAACATCCTGAAGATACCTCAAAGGGCAGTTCGACTCCGCCTCTACAAGGGCAGCATACAAGCAGGCATAAGCTGGGGACACCAGGCAATGGGATTAGCACCACAGATCCGGCAAAAGCTCAAAGCAGCAATGGGCAGGCAAATGGGCCTGCAACGTACGGGGAACCTCGACATCCTGTACGACATGCAAACCACGGCACAAGGATCCTGCCTATGAGGCCTTTGTGGAGCAGATCAAGGTCTATCACCGGTTCTATGGCAACTGGCCGGAACACCTCCAAAGAGACATGGAGAAAGCTTGGAAAGTCACAAAAGAGAGGCTCCAGCAGGCGAAACACCCGTGGCAAGTCGGTGGAGGACCAGTAGCAGCCTTGATCTGTTACCTCCGTGACCATGGGTGGAACACAGACACCTACGACCTCTGGACGAAGCCTGGCCACAATGGGGAGGATGAATACACCCTCAACATGAAGTCCAGCTGGTACTATCTGGTGGAGGAACTCCGACGTGCCCAACGACGTGAACGCACTCAGAACATCCAGAAGAGGCATGACCTACAAGAAGTACAGAACCATCTGGATTGGCTTCCTTGGAGAAGACTGGACAAGCAATCCAACACCAAGGTCCGCACAGCGTTGCAAACTTGGCACCAAGGGGCCATATTCACCAAGACGGCGGAAGGGCAAGGAGGCAAACACCTCCAATGCCCACATTGTGGCTGTGCAGCTGATGCAATTCATTTGCTTTGGCAATGCAAAGAGACAAATCGTCATTTCCCACCACTACCAGGTGAAGTGGCCACAGAGTTGGAACAAGGAATCAACAGGGGCACAAGGCCTAGTCCAAAGGCCACCATACCAGATCTCCACAGGTGGTGCTGCCATCCAGGCTTGGGGCTCCTGGACGGGGTTGGATGAGATCACCCTCCAACCTCATGACGCCATCACGATAGGGATCTCAACCACAAGCAGCGACAGCCGGCTCAAGCACTACGTGGTCACGCTTCTACATCACACCCTCTTTGCCGGAGAAATGTACCGCATGGGGGCCATCAGCACAGCGCTACCAGGCAAACAGACGGTAGCCCGTGCCTGGTACTACGGCCTCCGCATGATCGCCCATTATGTGGATTTGCAGTCCATGGTGAGGGTGCACGTGCTTTCAGTCAAAGCATGGCAAGGATGGGTCAAAGGACGTCACCATGAGACATTCTATGACTTAGCCGAGTTGGTGACATGGGACCAGCGGCAGCGCATCAGGGCTTTGAGCGTGACCCAGCAACAGATCAAATCAATGCCAAGCACAGGCCTGTCGTTACGCAACAGGTTCAAGGATGCCAACCGGGCAGCAAAAGAGTTTGCACTTTCAAAGAAACCAGTGGCTATTGAACAAGAGCTGCAAGAGCAAGATCAGAGGTATGGCCAATACGCTCCACTAGCAGCTGCACGCATCCGCTTTCTCCTGGAGACGCAAGATCATTTCCTACATGGGCAGAAGGCCACGGGCAAAGAACAACGACAAAAAGCACGTGAAGAGAAGAAACATCTCTATCTGGAGATTGGAGTCACAGGTCATGAAGGGGGACACCAATGGACCTCCAAGGGACGAGGACTACAGTGCCGGAATTGCAAGAAGCAAATCCATCAACGGATGCCCATGGCAATGTTGAAAACAGCCAAAGATGAGGCACGCGAAGTTTCCCCTCACAGGAGGAGAAGCACCTTCGGAGTCGAAACAGGACTACATCACCAGAATCCTCGCGGAGAACTCGGTTGATGGTCACCTGTTCACCCTGCAGGCCAACTACATTGTGTGCCAGAAGTGCAGTGCCGGGGTTCTCCAGAACTCAGCCAGAGAAAAAATCCAGCAGCTCCATGAAGGACCTTGCTGGTATGGACCATGGCAACCACATCCACGGTGGACGGGCAGCCCCACACACACCATGTGGAGGAAAGGCAATAAAGTCTATTGCCAGCACTGCAACGGCCATGCCCTGCTCAAAGAAGACTGGCAAGCGAGCCGGCCTTTGCAGCGGCCATGCACTCGCGAGGTGCAGAAGCAGACCACTCTGCCACTCGTGTTTCGGCCAAAACGGCCTTCTGACGAAGCAGACTGAAAAAGGTCCGAGAAAAAATATATATATACATATCGCATGTGCCTATATACACATATGCGGTAATCAGATATGCCCCCCAAGACCTACTACATGTCCGTCAACAACATACGAGGGTAACCTTTGGCCCAGTCGGTCGATTGCAATATAGTATAGGAAGTGTATTCCAACAGCTTGAGTTGTGGTGAAATGTTTTGCTTTGGGATTGTCTTTGCAACGTCTTGTCTGTCGTTAAGACGAGGTCCATTGGGTACCTGCGCGAAGCCAGGTTTCGCAGACTAGCTTAGGGGTTCGGCTGGTATGTGGGAAATGCTCCAGGCACCTTTCAATGAGCAAATGCATAGATACTCGGATACCCTGCGCAAACACATGCAAAACCGAGGTACCGTTCTTGCCCCGCGCTCGTCCCCTACTTACACGCCCACGATGACACACGGGGCTGCAACTTGTCGTAACTGGAAACTTTCTCTCGGACGCGTCTTTTGATTACTTAAAAAAAACAAACTTTATATATATACTAACATTACATATATATACTAATATAACACTTATATGTATATATCTTTTTGCACTGTCACATATGTATTTGGATACCTGGACGCTTGAGAACTCGTTCAATGGAAAGGCTCGAGCAAACTATCAGACCATGTTCATCACAGTGCTTGCCTCTTGCTATGATGCAATTGTTGGAAATCTTCACACCAAAATCCTGTTTGGAATGTTGAAGCAGCAGCCAAAACCCACATCTAGTACCAAGGCATGCGGCGTGGGCAATCCTTTGCTGCCCAAGTGGCCAAGCATTAGCATCGAGGATGTGCACCGCACTGGAAACTAACAAGGTCTCATAGAAGTTGCTGTTGGATGAATCCCACATGATGATAGCCTGGGGGTCGGATGCGCCATGTCAGGTCTGCTTCATTTGTGGATTGCGGAATAATGGGTCCGGCTTCATTACAGTATATCTTGGCACTTGAACCCAGTCCAAAGGAGTAAGTGGCACCCGAAAGCCAGCATGTGCCAAGGCACTTTCGGGTTGAAGTGGATGAAGTCCAGCCCCATCATGAGTTCAACATTCACCTGGTAGTCCTCAAGCATGGATGCGGCTTCGGAAGCCACCAACTACGATTGTCATTGGATTTATCAAAGCAACAAAAATGTTCAAAGAACCCCGTATTACTCTAGCCCTTCCTGCTCCCAAACAACTATGGCTGCAAGTTGCTCCTTTCCTTGATGGGAACTATCTATCAGTGGCTTTGACTGTATCATATACACACAAGACCATCTTACCTTGATGGGATCTTGTTTCAAAGCTTTGCTCCACCTCCACGCTTGCAGGACAAGAGGCTGCACAAACCACGAGTACATCTGGACCTCAAGTCGTTCTCAAAGGGTGTCCATTCATTCAAACTGGTCTCGTTTCTCTCACGTCTGACCTCAGACGTCCCCAAACGAAGTTTTCCGCCACCGAGCTCAGTCCCCCATCTCGCGTCCCTGCCACTCCGGCTGAGTGGAAAAGCGATACTTGAGACTAAAGGTCACATCGTGACATGTCAAACATGGAAGGCATGGATGCAAGGCCAAAGAAGTGAAAATCACACTCCTCTATTATCTTTTGTTGGCCTTGCTTGCATTCCATCAAAATTCAATCCATCGTGGATATTCTAACCACAGTATCCAAATCGCTCGAGGCTTCTTCTTTCACCTCACTCCACTCTTCGAGCTCTTCCTCCGAGTGGATCTTGTATTCGTCGGTCAGACCGCTCAGCTCCATGATCATCTGTGGACATGCGCCGACCTCCTTCAGCATCACCTGTTCTGGATCTGGCGTAGTGCCTCTCCCCAATGTTCATATCCCTTCTTCAAGGGATTGACTTGGCCATCTCTCAGCAGCTGGGAATAGACCTGGAGGATATCCTTCACGGTGTCCTCCACACGGCGTTCATCACCGACTGGCTTGCCATGATCTCGATCAGGGCACGGACTTCTCGCTCGGTCACTCCGGCGGTGTTCACTTTCACCATCGAAAAAGGGTCTTGGGAATTCAAAGCCTGCACAAAAAGAACACTTAAGCCGTTCTCGCTGACAGACTGGCGCTCTTTTCTCAAACGTTTTTGTTCTGCAGCAAGTTCCATGTTCAAGCTCTCCGAACTCATTTGGTACGTGCAGTTTCTCATAGCTCCTCTAAGATTGTCCATGGCATCGGCGTCCTCCTTTGTAAGGGCGTCCGCTAATTGCAACCAGGTTGGGACCCAACGAACGCGACCACTCACCCTAGATAAAACATCTCGAATGAGGACTAAATCAATTGCAACCCTCTTGTCAGCGACGCTGCTTGGAGATGCAAAGGCCTGAAGGTGGTCAAAAATCGACTTGATTGCTTGAATTCTCAACTCTTGCAAAAACTGTGTTCGACTCTCCAGTGAAAAGGAACTATGCTTTGCTTCCATGAGCACGCAGCCTATCCATTCAGAATGACCTAGAGCATCCGAAAGGACTTGAGTCTCTCCAGCGAAGGTGCTCCCGACAACTCTTTTGAGTCTGTAGCTCTTGCAGGTCGCTGGTGACCATGGTGCTTCATGACCTGCCTCCAGATTGGAGTTAGTAATGCCCACAATGTATCCAGCTTGAGTGCCACATTTCTTGGCGTTCGCAAAAGCTGCGTCACTGTGAACACACATTCGCAGGTCCTCAAAATTTTTAATTGGGAAAATCTTGCAGGTGGTATTGCGAAACTGTTTGGCTCGCCTCACAACATTTCCGACAGTTCTTGCTTGTCCAAGAGTGGGTTTGGGTGACAACTGTTGTCCCTGACTCACCTGACAGCTAAATCCGGTCGGGTCTCTTTGGCCAGCCACAGTACTCCACCTAGGACGGACTTCAGCGACGAAGCCTCTTCGCTGTTGATTTGAAAAGCGGCATCGGCTCTGGCTCGGAGCTTGGGTCTTTTCAGCTTGTCAACAAATTCTTGCTGTCCAACTGTAATGGTTCCATCTCCAGCTTGTGAAATAAAAGAACCACAAAAGTCCCTTCACCAATCTTCCACTTGCGAAATGGAAAAGTCTCTCGGAGTTGCTTCAATGACTGTTCAAACCATGGACAACTTCCACCAATGACCACGTCGTCAACATGAACACCCACCTGAACGGATACATGCGTTGAAGCCCGGATGCCCGACACACGATGTTCAAGGCTTTGACGGGGTGATCTTTCTTCCATGAGGTCAACCACTTGACATCAATGCCGATGTATCTGAGCGGGGCGAGGTCCCGAGGAACAGCACTATCCTTCACCGCTTTCGGTGCGCGACGGGCGTCACACACATCACACTGGAAGGCCTTGACCACATGATTGGGCCCCATGGTGTTTGAGAATTCGCAGCAAGTCTGGTTTGAAGCATGTCCCAAATTGATGTGCATCTTTCGGATGGCGTTCTGAACTCTGGAACGGTTGACTGCTTCACGGGGTTTCAGCTGAACATCTGCCTGTGAAATTGCTAAACACCAATGCTCTTGTTGTTCATTTGTCGCAAAACCACACAAAATCCTACGGACCAACTTCTTGGGATATCCTGCGTGATCACTGATCGCATCTGGCCTTGCGACGTTCCTTCAACTCTTTGATGTTGGTGATGTCCATCACACGTCAGCCCGGCCAACGCCACCGCAATGCCTGGAGCATCAGTAGCAAAAGACCATTTCTTGCCAAACAGCTTGTGACTTGAAGGATCACGAAGCCCCACGGCACATGCCGGCACGTCCGTGACCATCATCTCCAAGTCCTCGATCATCTTGATCACACATGGCTGTTTCCAGGTGCCACTTGTTTGAGACGACTCGTGACTCGAAGAGCGCTCGTCGTCCTCTGGCCCTTTGCTTGTAGGCCAATTTGCAGCGCCAAGCAATCATAGCCTTTGCCTCCTTCACCTCCTGCAGGAACTGTTCTGGATTTCTTCTCTTTGCCATGGGTGCGCATGCTTGTAATCGGGATAGAGGACCACAGGGCGGCGACACGATCAACAAGTCAGGGTCATTGCCTGCGCTCACGGACAGTCCAGTCCCAGCCATCGCTGAGGTCAAAGACTCCTTGGGAATGCCACACTCATCAGCCACGTCCTGGAACCGGCTAGGGCAGAAAATCTCGATCACGGTCGGAGCCTCATCCTCTTTTGTTCTCAGCACCTCGATCAAATTCTTCTGCACCATACGTCGGTCCTTGGCTTTGAAGACAGCCAGAGAAGCTATCTCCCCAGCTTCGTCATCGTCCGATGTCTCATTATCCTGAGACTGCTCTTGGCCATCCTCCCTGTCCGTAATCGACGTCTGGTTCTCTACCGGGATGTAGGCATTCTCACCATAGGGGCACCACAGGATTCTGTCTCATTGGATTCCGCTCCACTTGGTTGCGCACCGGATGTGACTTTGATCATTTCAATCTCTTCGTCCGGGCTCGTCACCTTCTCATCGGCAAACGGAAAAGTGATCTCTCCGGCCGAGGATTCAGTCTCACTCTCTTCACCTATTGCCTCTAGGACATCCACTTCCGGTGATGATGAAGGCATCGGGCCATCGATCTCCAGAAGGTTCAGCTGATACGAACCGTCCTTTCGTTCATGGATGTCCGTCGTCACATTGGCCTGTTTGAAGACGACGGTGTTGGCTTCCAGATCAATCTGAGCCCCCAAACTCTTCAGGAATCTCTTCGAGATCAGCAAAGGCACTTCGCCCGGGACAACATGTAGTCGCATACTCATCCGCCGCCCCTTGATGAACATCGGGGAGCTGCACCTTCTTGATCGACTGGTCTGATGTCCCGTTGCCATACCGGAAGGTGTGGGGTTTGTGATCAAGGGCGATCGACTGGAGCTGGTGCTTCATCAGCTCTGCACACCCTGCGTCTAGGACTCCAAAGCCAGCACCATGCACCAACGCCGCCAATGTCTCCCTTTCGCCGTCATCATCCGACTGGAGTTCCTCGAAGGCCATCTCTCATAGTCCTCTGCCGTCTGGGTTTTCTTTGGGCTGTGTGTCAAAGGTTGGATCCATCTCTGCGTGTTCACGGAGCAGGAACACGGTTTGTCCAGTCCATTCATATGGCTGTCCAGCATGAGCCTCACCAGGCGGCCGCCAGTTCGTAGTCTTCAGAACTGTAGTTCCATCTTCTTGCATTGTCCGGGTGTATCTCACGTCAGACAAGTCATCAATAGCCACAGGGCATCCACTGGAGGTGTAAACATAGACTGTCGGGGCAACACATGCTCTCGGATGATCTTGCTAGCCTCACAATGCCAGAAATCACGAGGCGCGTACTCCCATCCCCGAACGAGCGCCTGATGGCCAAACAATAATGGTGGTGGCCAGGGGTCCTCCATGTGGATGGTCTCCTCAGCTTCTGTCTCATCACCTGAGCTTCGGGGTCCCCGCCAACCAAAAGGTTCATTGGCCTTCATGCCCCACGGAAGTTCCGCGCTTGACCACACCGGCCATGCCATGTGCACATAGTTCACCTTGGCGCCACTGCTTGTAGATGCCGGCGTCGACGATGTAGTGGATCCTTTTCCAAAACCTTTGACCCGCTTGGGACAGTTTCAACTGAAGTGGCCGACTTGCTTGCACTTGAAGCATCTCACACGAGCCTCTAGCTTCTTCAGGTCGCGGCCGCCTGAGAAGCCACGATTCAACTTCTCCTTCAAAAATGCCAACTCTGGTTTGTCACCACAACAAAAGGCAGTTGACGGCGTCCTGTTCCTCTATGGGCTCACCTTCTTCATCCAGCTCTGTCATAAAGACCTGGTCGTCATTCACATCCTCGCCCTCGAAGATGTCCTCTTGTTCTGAGGCCTCGGCCACCTGTTTCGAAGCCTTCAGGGTAGGTCGTCCTGAGGGCAGCTGACACCTCTTTTTCCTCATAGCTTTGTCGAGCAGCAGCCATCACAACGTGTTCTTCTCATTGGGCAGAGGTAAACCCGTGCCACCGATGGGAGTCGGACGCCCTCCGATTCAGCCGCAGAAAAAGGACTCTACCGGTGAAAGTGGCTGTCGATTCACCTTTGGCCAGCTTGAGCTCGAAGATGTTGTCGAGCGCCCGGCCAATCTTGTCATGACTCGCCTGCTCTGGGAATCGCTCGTCTAGCGTTTGGATGAGTATAGGTCATGTCCTCCAGACCATCAATGTCATCCATTGCCACGGAGTCGAAAGTTGCCAGAGCGGCGCCGTCCAGTAGCGTATAGAGCAGGCTGCCATGTGTCTCTTCAGCTATGCCACGGGCCTTTTGAACACTGAGATAGGCTCTGCTCCATCGCTTCCAGCGGCGATAGTCGGTCTCGGGGTCCGTGCCATCCCCTGAAAACCGTTTCACCGCTGCTTCTGGTCGAGCACCTTCATTTGACGACGATGCCACGTCCACCACCGAGCGGGCCCGGATTATCCGGGCTCCGCTACCAGTTCAAACCGGTCTCGTTTCTCTCACGTCTGACCTCACACGTCCCCAAACGAAGTTTTCCGCCACCGAGCTCAGTCCCCCATCTCGCGTCCCTGCCACTCCGGCTGAGTGGAAAAGCAATACTTGAGACTAAAGGTCACATCGTGACATGTCAAACATGGAAGGCATGGATGCAAGGCCAAAGAAGTGAAAATCACAATTCACATGAAACACGTAAGAAGGGAGGGGACGAAATCCGTAAAAGAATATGAATATGGTCAACGGGGGTGAACGCGAGAGCGCAGGGGAGGCATAAGGCAGGCCGATATGACAGGCCTTCAGTGACAGGTGGGGGGGCGGGAGGCCCTTCTTCTTTTGAGGGGCGCTTGGAAAAGAAAAAAGGCACCCCAAGTCATTGTTTGTCTGCGGTTTGTTTTTCGTGTTTTGTGGATGGACTCATAAACAATGGATCGTATTGTTATGGGGGGAAGTCGACATGGCGGTGATGTCTACAGCTGCTGGAAATAGAAAGCAGCAGATATGGGACTTAAGTCCGACGTTACAGCCAAGACCAATTGAGCGTCTCACATCGGGCAAAGAGCGGCTTTGTTATGGGGCAATAGAAAGCAGAAGATGTAGGTTTGGGGGAGGTGCCCTTTTTCCTTTGACTTGAGGCTTTTGTGGGGCTGCGAAAAGGCACCCCGAAGGAATCGACGGACCCTTGCACGCTGATCGTTATCCTTGCTTTGTAGATGGTGGTCCGACGTCACAGCCAAGATCCAGTGAGTAGTGTCTAACATCCAGCACAGAGCAGCAGTGTAATGGGGTGAAGTCGACACGGTAGCCACGCCTGGTACAAGACTGCTTAAAACGCACATGTCCCTTGCTGCTGGGCAATGCACTTCTCGCTGTCTAAATAAGCTCCCCACCTCTTTTCCTATCACATCCTCCCTCGCTATGCCTATCCTCCACATGAACTCCCACCTCATATGGGGTGCCCCTTTGCGTATGGTTAACCAGCGTCTTCACCAATAAAAAAGGGCACCCCCAAGCAACTCAAAGATTTCTTGCGATCCCTCTTTTCCTACCACGTCCTCCTCTGCTATGCCTGTCTTCCACATGAACTCCCACCCAGATGGGGTGCCCTTTTGCGTCTGGCTACTAAGTGCGCCGCTTCACCATGCACCCCAAGCAACTCAAAGCTCGCCCGCCGCATTCGGTTCTTTCTGCTGCCCTCAACGGATCACATCATTTCTTGCAATCCCTTCCGCACTGCATTCTGTTCCCTCTCCTGCCCTCACAGATCACATCATTTCCACGAGACAACACTGTGTTGAGAGACGCACACCTCCCTTTCACCCCTGGCCGAAGGCTGTTTAAATAGCCTCCAGAGACGCACATCTCCCTTTCCTGCAAATATATATGTCCAAGCACTTTTCGCAAATATATATGTCCAAGCACTTTTCGCGTCACGTTGTCCCCCCTTTCCTATCATCGACATGAACTCCCACCCCTAGTAGAAAACTGTTTACATTGCCTCCTGAACACCTCATAATGCTAATGATGCACTCTTCGCCGTCAATTACATCACTTGCATCACAACACCCCAAAAACCACTCCCAAACTCCAGGTAGTTTTCTTCGCTCTCCCCTACCAGGCTCTGGGTTCGCCCTCCGAAATTGACCTTCCTGCGACCACCCCCCCACACACCCCCTTTACTCACTTTGTTCGCCCATCCCAACTCCAGCCTAGCCTATCGGCTGGCTTTCGTGAAAAGCTCCGGAAATTCTTTCAAACGTGTTACCCCATGGTCCAAGACCTTTGCAAACAGTGTTCTGGATCCCTGCCATGGCAAAAACAGAGGTTGACCGTTCGAGTCCTTGTGAGGCCATGAATATACCACCGAGAACCAGCAGTCAGTCGTAGTCGTCGAACATCTGTACTCAAGCTTAGGACACAAGCTTGGGATTTTTATGTTCAGCCAATTGGTGTTCTGAAATGTTGGGGTATACCACCTGCTCTTATCATTAGCATGAAAGCTGCCATCAGAATCTTGCATGTGGTTCGCAGATGTTCGCAGGGCCCGTGATAGGTCAACCAGATTCTGCAGCTCGCGAGTGCATTCACTGCATCAAGTAAATCATGGCCACAAGGCAAAGCAAGAGCGACGTCCATTGTTCGCTGACCTTCTGGCAACACATGGCAATGAGGTTTTCTTCCCCACAGTGTCCAAAAAAGGCGCCAAATTTGCTACCAAGACACTGACTCCTGCCATGGACCTGAAGAGAGGAAGCGGAAGCAGACTGAACAAATTGAGCGGCCCAATGCCCAACAGACTGAGCCCGTTTCAGCCTACCAAGGGTCAACTTTGGTGTGGTTGCAAGTTGCAAGGGTCACTGCACTTGCATGCCCCCCTCACTGTGCGCGCACTTTGTCTTCAGCTGGTGTGTTAAACAAAGGAACATCTGCCACATGCAGTGATCAACCTTATCTTCAGCACCACACACGGGTCGAATGACCTCATGAATTCAACCTCCCACCCACCACCTCAACGCTTGGTCGTCCTGCCTCAATTGCTCCACTAGAAAAAGATTGGATGCCGAATCTCCTCAGCAAGATGCCATGGTCTAGGTTGAATCTGGGAATTTGGGTGGAGCCTCTGGTTGGGCATCAAAGTGGGATTTCACACAAAACAAAATGTTGAGTTTCGAAAGTGAAGTTCAGTCTGGTTGGGCACAACATGGGATTTGATGGTGAGATGCACAACATCACAACAAGCCACCAGCACTAAAACTTCTTGTCCTGACTTTGGGAGGCTCGGTTTACATGTGTCACTGACCAGGCTCACCGAGGCACGTTGGAAGACCACGTCCATGCCGAGACGGAGAGCTTCGGTCACCTTGTAACGGGCGAGCTCGCAACAGCAACCCTGTACACCTGCCGCCTTGACGGCGACGGCGACGGCGACGGCAGCAACAACGACAACAACCACGACAACCAACTACTACTACAATGACAACGACAACCAGGGACGCCAACCTCGTGAAAAAGGAGCCTTCGAAACCAGCCCTAGCAGATGGAAAAATACCTACCCGAGAAGAAGGCCTGGCCGTTCATCACTCTCCGTCTTCAAGGCTCCACTTGAGCACTTGAGTCGTCCCAGGTTGGGGTTAGCAATGCAAGATCGTCCTGTTGGGGGTATACGGTATACAAAACCAAAAATTGAGTATCCTGTACGCGCTAAGAGTCTTGCAGGGTTGTGTATATTCGATCGTTTCGAGATAACACTCCATCACTCCACCTGGTTTTCTAGCGAGATGCAGCACCGGCGCACATAGCTGTCTGGTACACACCTGGCTCTTCCCAGATTGCCACAGTCTGTGATCCTCTGGCAGTCAGAGGATGATTCTTTTAAATAAAATGAACAGCCTGAGTGCTTCCAGTTGCCGAGTAGGCCTACTGGGTGAGACGGACCAACCTACCGTACCAGCACATGGGAAGCTTGTCATGTAGCTTGTTGCAGAGCAAGCTGGTTGAGAAACAGGGCACAAGCAGTACCTTGGACAACCACACACAACAGGCTCCTCGTTGCTTCAGTTGGAAAATGTGCATCTTGAGAAGCGCATCCGGTGGGATTTCCTGACAGTAATGAGGTCCTACTCTCAGCAGCAAATGGAATTGTCCAAGCTCGGCCATGCAATATAGTCCCAATAGATAATAGTTGATCAACTCTGAACCCAAAATGCTCCTCAAATGCAGTGTTTCACAGTCAAATGGTGTCAAATGCCACTGAAATACATGATGCCGACTGAAGCTCACCAAATGCTGATATGTTTAACTGCCACGCCACAAGGGAGAAGACTGACGGTGTCGAAGGTTGTGATGCTTGTAACGCCTTGGGCGAAGTACTCATGTCCTAACAAGAAGCTACTAGGAGCAAAGGGCATCCCTACTAGGAGCAAGGACGCTACTAGGGGCTCCTGGCATCGCTCCTAGGAGCAAGGACGCTACTAGTAACAAGATGTTTCAGTGTCGCCCCGCATCACAACCCGCGACCGGTCGACACCGGATTCCAAGGTTATTCGTCGAAGCGTTCGTCGCCGGTCCACGCTGGCCGGCTTCAAGGCCGGGTAAAAGAACGATAAAATACATGGGAAAAAAAGAATAGACTAAATCCATTCTTTGGGGGTAGCGCTCCCTGTTCCGCTACTTTTCCACTTAGAACCCTTTCATAGAATCCTGTTTGAAAGCAAATAGTGAAATACTGATTGGCGCTTGCTTGGAAATGAGGGAATGACCCCCACTACAAATTCGTTAGGACCCCGCTTAGGATTAATTCCCTCGTTCCTGACCAAGCACCAGTCAGAATACACATCTTCACAATTTTTGGGTGGTGATCTATCTAGGTGTCCCCAAGTGCCCAATTGGCCATGTCTAACTGTTTTCTAGTGGATGCTCCCTGACATGATACAGTAGTCTAGTTTAAAAACAAAAAAACATGCGGCACATGGCCGAGTCCAGCTGCTTTCAGCCTTTCAGCTTTGAGATGGGCCAAAAAAATAATTGCCGAGCATCTCTCAAAGAAGTGAAGGGCAGCATCAGCAAGAAGCTGCTGTTCATCGTCAAATTTGCTGCCACCTCCATGCACGAGCGGGGGTATTCATGAGGGCGGTGAGGACAGCTTTAATATATATATATATATAAATGGAGTCCTACCTAGTTCAAGTTGGTCACGGAAAATGGCGTGCAAGGGAAGGAGCCGAGCTGCACTTGTCCCAACATGCATGAAGCAATTCCAAGATCAACATTATATGAACCGCACCCATTACATCCCATTACCATCTCATCGATTGCGTCTTGCCTTTTTCGCTCCCACGCTACCACCGAAAGGGGCCGCCTCCGAAAGCACTTCAGAGATTGGCCCTAGGAAGACAATGAACTTCTCCTAAAGACTGCCGGACACGTGACAAGACTGTGGTACAATGATTCCATGGAAAGTTCAGATCTGAGTCTTGAGCATCGAAATCATGCTTTCGGAAACCCTTTTTCCCATGAGGGACAAGTCGTTGTTAATACATCTTGGAATCATGAACGAACCAAAGCGATCTTTAGGCTTTTTTTTCTTGCCATTTTCATTGTGGGCAAGGGGCAATAGTCACACTTTCTGCAGAACCCTTAGCGGCGGGTAAAACTGGACGTCCCATGTAGGTCAATCTTGATAAACAAATCTCTCGAAGCCGGCTCTGTCCACGTTGCGATCAGCCTAAGACCATAAAAATATGTCATATGGTAAGGCCAGATTCCTTGATTAAAAAGATTGTCCAAAAAACGTCAGATGGAAAAGTCAAAGTTAAAAAACAATCAAACTGAAAAGTAAAAATATAATATACCACTGCTCGAAGACATCAACAATAATCGAAAAAAAAATAAAAATAAAAATAAATAAAAAACATCAAAAAAATGAAATATCGAAAAATGTATATATATATATATGTATAAACATATATATATATAACAACTCGAAAAATGCAAAAAATAAAAATAAAGTTCCCAAACAAAAATAGAAATTAAAAAAAACACTCGGAAAATTTTAATTTAAAAAAAATAATAACAAATAAATATATAAATAAATAAAAAATGTGTTTAAACAAAACAAGAAAGTCGGAAGCAAATGAAAAACGAAAGTGAAGAAAAAGTCGAATCAGGGCAAATTGCTTTTTTTTCCTGAAACTTTCTGATTTGACTTTTTGACTTTGACTTTTGGGACTGAATTTTTTGATGTTTTAAAACTTTGAAAACAGGCTCTCTCCAATGAAAGATTCTTTATAAGCCTAAAGCCTAAAAGGTTTCGGGAAAATGTGCCTTACCGTTTTCCCGGTTGACGGGTCGAGTTGTCTCACACTTAAGGATCCACAAATCAATTTGCAGTTTTACCTTTTCCCGTGATAGGGGCTAGCAATGCAATAATACCAATTTACGGCTTTACTCTTCAGGGTTTCTCCTCGGCATTTTCTCCCGCTTACCTTGCAGGATTCTGCCCTGGGCACTTTACCATTTTACCATTGTACCACACACCTTTGCAACAGTCACGCTGTAAGCCAGCACAGGAATCTCTTCCACATATATGTAAAACTCAAGTAAGTTTTCTGGTAGGATGAAATCATGATGCTAAGATTACTAAGATTTGGTGACTGGGCTCCAGTATCCAAATCTTCAACCCACCAGGAGTCCCCAGCTCCGACCCGTGGCTCGCAAACTCTCTGTCTCCTGATGCTGGACCATCATGGATTCATACTGACCTGGTCGTGACTTGGTCAACTTGCCCACGTGCAACGTGCAGCTGGGGGCATGTTTGGTTGACAAATGAAACATGCGACTCGGCCGCATGTTCGACGTCCTCGCGACATCCACCCAAGAAATACTTTACTTCGAATTATCCTCACCATGACGCGTCATTCAGTTGCTTTCATGCCATGGTAAAGAGCATGTTGCCATTGTGGGGGGGGGTTGTGGTTCTTGATTTTGTTTGTGGGTCCTGTTGTTTTAATCATGGGGAGTTCGCGTCAGGGTGCTGCCAGCGTCTACAGCTGGAATTCTATCCAACCACACACACCGGTAATTATATTGTTGCGTTGTGTTTGTGTTATGTGTTGTGCGTTGCTTGTGTTTGTGTTTGTTGATGTTGTCATTGTCCTTGCTGTTGTTGATGTTGTTGCTGCAATTAGTGATAATTAGTGCTGTGAGCTCGGCTGACCATGGTCAACATCGTGCCTCGCTGCTGCTGTCCCGCATTGCGGAGGCGCTGCGGCCTGCTTTGGATGCTTCCATGTGCGGATGGCTGATGCACTTAGGCCGATGAGCTGTAGTTTTGGTTCAGCAGACCGACCGCGTTCTGCCCTCAGCATCCCATGTGCTGAATTTTGAATTCAATTTGGCGTTCCACTTTGGGCTGAGTGGTCCACACTTTTTGGCTTTGGCCTGATGTGCACTTGGATTCTTCTTTTTCTACCCGCTACTCTTGGAGCTAATCGCGCTAGTGAGCGGCTGAGCAGCCCCTCCGGGCTCATGAGAAGAAGAAGCGTTGTTGTTGTTGTTGTTGTTGTTGTGGCTGTGGCTGTGGCTGTGGCTGTGGCTGTGGCTGTGGCTGTGGTGGTGGTGGTGGTGGTGGTGGTGGCTGTGGTGGTGGTGGTGGTGGTGGTGGTGGTGGTGGTGGTGGTGGTGGTGGTGGTGGTTGGTGGTGGTGTGTGGCGGTTGTGTGTGGGGGTTGTGTGTGTGGGGGTTGTGTGTGGGGGTTGTGTGTGGTGGTTGTGTGTGGTGGCTGTGTTCGCGGTTGTGTGTTTGTGGTTGTGTTTGTGGCTGTGCGTCTGTGGCTGTGCGTCTGTGGCTGTGTGTTTGTGGCTGTGTGTTTGTGGATGTGTGTTTGTGGTTGTATGCTGTTGGTTGCGTGCTGTGTGTGTGTGGTGTGTATTGTGGTTGCGTGTTGTGTGTTTGTGGTTGCCAATGTGGTTGCGCGCTTGTGGTCGTATTTTGTTGGCTGTGTGTTATGTATTGTGTGTTTGTTGGCTGTGTGTTGTGTGTTGTGGTTGTGTTTGTGGCTGTGCTTGTGTTTGTGTTTGTGGTTGTTTGTGGTTGTACTTGTGGTGGTTGTGGTTCTGGTTGTGGTTGTGTTCTGTGTTGTGTGTTGTGGTCGTGGTGGTCGTGGCGGTTGTTGAGGTCCCAGACTGCCCACTGCAATCTGGCGCTTGTTGTTGAGGTCCGGTACTGCCCACTGCAGTCTGGCCCTTGCTGCTGCTATTTGGCGCTTGCTGTTGCGGTCCGGTAGTGCTAACTACGATCTGGAGCTTGCTGTTGAGTGGAGCGGACGAGGAAGAAGACGAAGAAGAAGAAGAAGAAGAAGAAGAGTTGCAGCACCACACTCAAAAATCTAACAACCCACACATCTTTCAAAATGGCATTTGTATAAATGTGTCATGGATTAATGGATCTCGGAAAGCTGCGACTTGAGGCTCCCATCTATGTGAATCACCACCTCATCAGTTCTCTCCTACCACGACCAGCGAAAACGCTGACCATAGTGCCATAGCTGCCATCGAGGAACGTTTCAGCTGCGCTGGATCACCCGCGTCGTCTCGAATATCCAACCTCACATTCAGGTCCTCGGGCCGCAATGAAGGCCGTGAAGATCGTCAGGCGGCTACATGGCGGGTGTTCCCTGAGACCTACGGTAGAACAACTGGACTTGACAGTTCAAATGATAGAAGATGGGACTATCACAAACAATGCATCAGGCTTCCTAGACCTCCCAACCCTTTCGACATGTGTCTGGTCCCTGGGCGGTCGAGGAGTTCAAAGGATGGACGTCCATGGCCAGCTGCAAGCCTCTCAGTTGAGCACTTGCATCATTTGCCGAACAAACTGACACTCTTTGGGAGGGTTCGTTGTGTTGACCATTGTTCGGATCTCAATATCCTCAAGCCACGTTTGAAAATTACGAGTGAAAGATAGTGAAAGTATATTGTTGCCAAGTTTTTTGAAAAAATAGGTTCTTCTCAATGATCGAAAACATGTCAAACGAAAAAGATTCTCCTTCAGCATTCACTCTGACCTCAAAATGAGTTCCAGCCTTGAAGAGCTTCCTGAGATTCGCTCACCAGACTGCTGCCCGTGAGGCTCAGCGTGCCGCATAAAACGATGTCCACCGGTGGGGGGCCCTGGGGTGGGCCCTGGCCCGGGCCCTGGCCATCTCCAGATGGTTGACCGCTCGGTTGCCCAGAAGGCTGGCCGCTTGGCTGGCTGTTGTCCTGTGCCACCAAGTCCTCGCAATAAGTTTGTTCAAGATGGGAATCGAGGAAGCCTGGTTGACACTGGTTGGTGTGGATCCAAAAAGCATGACCTTTCCAAGTTTGGCAGCCAGTTTGCTGATGGCCTGGCAAACCTCTCTGCTCATGGTGTCCCACCCCGCAACCGGCAACTGGTCCTGAAGATGCGTGACCAACAGCAGTCCAAGCAACAGTCTCCCGGCAAGCGCCATTGCTTCACCAAACCCAACAATGGATTGGTGGCAAAACTACATAGTATGGATCAACAAAATTTCCAGGACACTTGAGAACCTTTCGGTCCGCTCAAGTGGACGAATGACGAAAAGACTCTTCTCACAGACAATGTGACATGGCTCTTTAGGTTGACGTGAGCAGCAACATTGTGCAAATACATGCAAATACCGCTGTCATACAAATAGACTCAAGGTCATGTGCCGCACACTGTGCAAAGGAGTTCACGGGCTTGCATGAAACTGTCCAGAGACAATGGCTGAACCTGACGGGAAAACAAGTCCAGCACACTCCACCCACCTCAAAAGCTACCGTAAAGAGGCCATGCCACTCATACAGGCACCCACTACAAGTCTCAGGCACAGGCTTCATTGATGTAGCACGCAACACCTTATCACATGAAGATGTTCATGGTCTTGGATTGAAACCCCACAGAAGACTGGTGATTTCCACCAGATCAGCAGCATCTCTTTTGCACGAAAGAAAACTTCGGCGAAAATTTGACAGGACTTGAGATGTTAAAGCCCCACAACGTCAACAGGTTGTGGTGGAATCATCACGGCTGAGCATCAGGAGCCAGTAGCAAACTTTTGCAATCCAAATCGGAAAGTGTGCCAATATTGACTCCACCCGGTTCATCTCAAGCACTGAGGCGGACATGTGCAATGGAAACACAGTGCAGCGAACTCCTTTAGTTCATCTGCATGAATCGGGATGTGATTTCTGCAGGAAACTCTTTGAGAACTTTTGCATCACAAAGCTATCATCTTTTGCATCTAAACCTCTAAAGCTGCTACAGTAAGTCCTCACTTCGTTTCGGTCTGCTACGCTGCACGAGCTGTGAGACATCGAAAATCGAAAACACATCGACCAGCTGCGTGCTCAAAGGCTCACCTGAGAGCACGCAGCACAGCAAACGACGACCACAAGGAGCACGATGACTGCAAGTCACTGAAAAGTATACGGTCTTTAAAGGAAAAGAAAAGGTTTCACCATGTTTTACCCAAAAGCAAATCTCTTCGAACAAACCAAGCAAACGCTGCTAGCGGATCCCGCGCCTGGCCGATCAGCTGGAGCCACCGAAGAGTTCGCCCACAGATTCGAAGAGGCCCTGGTGAGTGCCATCTTGGTCAAAGGGAACAAATTAGGAATAGTTGTGTGTCAAGATCTATTGGAAAAATGTGTTCAACATCCAAATGACCTCACTGCAAATTGTGTTTTCTTACGGTCTGACAAGGTAGCTTTGCAAGCACTAATGGCCCTGGATGGGGGGGGACTTGTTTGCTCATGAATCGGATGAACATGTTTGAATATATAGTTGATGATGCAAGACGTGTATCAAGCATCACAGCATTTGCTGCATCATGGTCCTCATGGTTGTCTTTGTGAGGCCCAGTGTGTGACGGTGTGTATCGCTGACCGTGGGCGGCTACTCTGGTCAAAACTTTTGTTGATTTAGTCGTTTGCTGCACAGTATTTGTGGGTGTCTTTTCATGCAGACTAGTCGATGGTTGAGTTGCACCTTTATTCGAGAACTGGTAGAAACAATCAGTATCATATCGAATGGTGGTTAGCCAAACCGTTATCAGCTTATCAACAAGGGACTATGTCTCGCAAGCGCCCTTCCAAGCACAGCCTTGCCAAGAAAGTACTCTTGAAAGATCAGGACAAAGAAGAAAATCATGGCGATCTGGGCAGCGTGAAAAACAGGCCACCCGCTCACCCCACACACTCTGTTCCACATTGGCGCAAAAACGACTCCCACCCGGTCCTACCCCTCTACGCAGCCCGTGGCCACAGGAACTCTCGGCTGCATCATCAAGGGCTCGAGACACCGGGCCCGGCCATTGAGCTGCTCTGCAAAAGGAACAAAGCCCCATAAGTAGCTCGTTCGGTCTGGCTCCTGGCAGAACAGTGAAAAAAAATAGACAAGACAAAAACACAGACAGTTCGGGCTCCTGTTTAGCCGCAAAAGAACCCAAACATGCTTAGACAAAGGGAACATCACAGTATGTCACAATTGTTGTTGAATTTCTGGAATCTCCCGAAACTTGCTGGACAGATTGCCAACCGATCTTGTCACTGATACAATTCAATGTGAACAAAAAACAAAGGCTGTTGGTAGTTAGTACTCAGTAGTTAAGCTAGTAGCTAGTAGTCTGTAGTTCAGTTTGTGCGGCTTGTACATAGCGCCTCTTTTGGCTGGATCAGGTCAGCCTCTTTCATCGGAACATCTATCTGGACTGCGGCCTAGGCTCATCAATGGTTTCCTGGAAAAATGTCTTTCACTCAGAAACTCTTGACAGTAAACCTTGGTGGTAAAAAACACAATGTTGTGAAGCACTTGACAAGGAAACAAATGCAAAATTGGAAGGAATGACATTGCATGATCAACATTCCTGGGTGAACTGCATGTTTGTCCTGTGCCCACTAGAACATCATCCACCGCGCGTAGTGTCCCTCCTCTGGGCCACCCAAACCCTTGTCAAAGCAGAGTGACCCCGCAGGCCTGCAGAACAGTAACTTGCCGGCACTAAACAAACAATTCCACACAACGAATCTCCCCATCTGTTTAGAATAGTTAAACGTAGCATGGATCACAAAGCCGTCACTCTGCCCTGACTCCACTTTGGCACCCCGTTAGACCGTCTTGAAGTGTCCTGGGCTAGGGGAGGCTCCAGAAATGAAGCAGGGCCTGCCACAGCACAGATCCAACGTTCGTCATTGTGGTCATTGCAACCGCAAATTGCTTATGAAAAGATCTCTTGACAAAGACCTCGCCGCCGCATAGACCAAAACAGCCACAAGGCTGCGAAGCAACCAAGAACACCTGGAATCTAAGTTTCATGGGCCTGTTGGCCCTGCTTTAACAACAATGAATGAGTCCGTCAAAACTTCACAATTTCTCAGCCATCCGACCGCATCATCAACCTAGCACCCAACCAAATGTTCACAAAGTTCGGGCTGCAAAAATCACACCAAGCACACAAAAAGACTCCGTTGCCGCAAAGCTGAGAGGCAAACAACAACAAGTGTCTCAATACCTGCCCTCGTAACTTTAGGTGCAAAATGGCCGCGAAATGATGTGACACGTCTTCGGCAATGTGGGTTGGTCACGACGCACTCTACACAGTAAGTTGTCAAATTTGCCCACACCCGTCATGGGTGGAAGTTGAATGCGCGATTAATTTTAGCCAAACATACACAAGGGCGGCATTTTGCGCCAGCAGATCAACGTGGAAACTGCATGTGGCCAGAGTGCAGATCCCACACATTGGTGTTGGAAGGTGCTTCTATCCTGTCATGGCAGCAAAAGGTATAGAAACAGCCGTTAAGCTACGATACCCTTTTTGGACCGCGAGCTGCAGATGTGGTGCAATGACATCCTATACATATGTGCATGGTAAAAGCATACATATTATATACATGGAGTGAAAATACACCCCCCGGGCTTAAGGGGGGGCTTAAGCTTCGGTACCTTCGGGGGGGGGGGCGAAGGGGAGGGACCTTCGTAGGGGCTTAAGAGGGGGCTTAAGCCCCCTTCGAAGGGGGGCTTAAGCACCCCTTCGCCGAAGGTCCCGGGCCCAGCCTCCACGAACCCTGACAGTCCTCTGGATTTCCACCTAGCGCAAAGCGCAGCTGAACGGTCAGGGGTTGCAGAACTACACCGATGGAGCATCATGCTCCCAACCAGTGCGCGGGTTGCAGTGCTAGTGTATCAACACCTGGAAGATGAATTAGAGCGTGCGGAGGCAGCGAGGCTGTCCTAGCCCTCACAACCACTCGTGTTTGCGCCACGAACTCACTGGGAAACAAGCGAATGCCGAAACTGCAGTCAAAGTAGCCGGAGCCACTGCGAAGCACTGCGTAGTCATCCATGGGCGGACGTCTTTCCTGAGGGTAATGGGCTTGATGATCAGGAATGTTTTACATGAGCGAACGTGGCCTACAGCCGTGCCACGAACCTTACAACATGCAAGGAATGCCAGGTGCTTGCTGCCGGAACCAGGTGCCCCAGCGGCACTCGACTGACAGTGTCTGCAGCCTGCTCGATGTCGTCTTGGCTGAAACCTTAAACACTTGGAACCTCATGAGGCATGCACCAGGCATGAGGGGCTCGCAGCCCTATCGGAGCTTTGAGGAGGAGCGTTCTGTGAGCTCTCAGGTCCTCTGCCACTCCTCCTGCGCTTTGCTTGGGGTCGTCTAACATGACTCGAAGGAAGGGCTGCCTGGGAACTGCGGGAGCAAATGCCGACTTCAGATCCATGTGGCCTCCTCGCTGATCAGGAAGTCAACATTGTCCTTTTTGATCCCATACTAAGCCAGTGGTGACTATCACTACTCGGCTGCCTGGGATATGCGAGGCTGCTTGGCTGGCTTGCAGATCAAAGGCCGTGCTGGCAGTGTTGGCCTCTGCCTTCTCCCTGCGTACTGGTCGGATGAAATATTGCTGGTGCTCAGGCTGCAATCGAAGGTGGTGAGCAGCTTCGTAATGGCTCTGCCCGGCCTCAAGGTTATGGAATCCAGGCCAACGCGGTTTCGTGTGGTTGCCTTTGCAGAAGTTGGGGACACAGTTACTGCTGATCACCTCATCCAAATGGCCACCTTACCAACTGAGCGTAAGCCCACGGTGCTGGGCATTCCCGGCCACGTGCCCACCTTGAGTGCACGCTGGCCATGCTGCAGAGTTTGCACGCCCTGTTTACAATGCTGGCCACGGGTGATACGCTTACGTATTGTCCGCAGCTACTTTTGCTAAAGCCCTTGGCACGGCAGCTCGCAATGACAATGACCCCGCCCATCTGAAGATTGCTGTGGTACACAAAGAAAACCCGGCGCTGACTTGACACGCGAGGCCAGTCTCGGCTTGGGTGGGCAAGGGCGCAAAGTCTTCCGGAAAGGGAACAAGGGCAACATCCCAAGCTCTGGGGCTACTTAGTCTCCGGACCTTATCGTACGGCGACTCCTCTCCTTTTTGGTT